ATGGGAAGTATTTGGCAAAGCAGTGTCCAACATTCAACCCCTCTACAATATAAGATTTCTGCTTTCGGCTCCGTGACCTATGTATCTGTCTATGCCTGCCTGAATGATTATTTTTATTAGCCCCAGTGGCTGTCCTACGGTCCCGTCCCTCTTGATGTCCCTTTCGCTGCTCGCTGCTCGCTGCTCACTGTCCGCTTTTTGCATAAATTAATGAACAACAACGACTCTACCCCTGCCATGCCCTGCCTTTCCCAGCCTGACTGCCTGCGCCGTTGATCACAGGTCCCGGTCCTGGTCCCGTTATCCACTGGAGCTGTATTTGCACCGGACCAACACCATCTGGCTCTTGTTGAAATGTGAACGGCTCATCCATCCTGAGCTGCGCAATAATGTTTTGGAGCTGACTGTCATATCCTGCCTGACCCCTTTAGGGGTTGGTGCTGCATCTAGTTGCCTGCGTCTGCGCTTTCCTGACCCATGCCATTCACATACATATGTGTATGTACATGTTTTTTTTGTTATCAAAATCTCAGTTGCTGTATTATTATTATTTAGCGCTAGCCGTTGTCCTGGGTTCGGAGTAGGTAAAGCTTACGCACCAATATCAAGGGTGTGTTCGGGTTGAGTGATTTTAGGAAACTTCTCAGTAAAATACGATTAGATAACAGTAGATCATTAAAACGCTTGCACACGGACTATCCATTGGTATTGTCTACTAGTACCTATTTGCGATGGGAGGTTTTTGTTTCCTGTTTCTTTTTAGTTTGCCCTGCCTCAAAAGGATGTCGCGGGAGCAGATGTGAACTTGCAGATACATAAATGTATATTTACGAGTCTGCCATGCCCCGTACCCCATGCCATTCGCATCTGGGCTCTTGCTAAATTTATGTATTTCTTTTGTGTCTGCCTGTGGAATGGAAGAAGTTTCGCAATCGCTTAACTCAATGGTGGGTCAGTGGCACACCATCTGCTGCTGACCGCAAATCGTGATCGCGACTCCCCGAGGCAACCGATCTGATGCCGCTACTTCCACTTAGTTTCCCTTTAGTTGTAAATTGTAGTTTCAGTATGCCAAGTGTTTTCTCATTATCGTGCCAAGGCTGTTGGCATAGGCAGTCCAGATCCAGTCTTTCCATAGCAACACGGAAGTGGCAACAACAGCTACACAACACAAACAAATGCATGTGCTTATGCTACAATATATATATGTACATATGTATGTATGTAAAATAAGATTTGTTGTTGTTGATGTGTAAGTAAGGGAAATCGACTTTCGAAAAATAAATGATTAAATTAAGTCCACATATTCATACAATGTACATTTATTTGTACATATTTACGCACATATGGACATACACATGTACATACATACATACGTGCGCATGGACATTCAGTCGCCATTGCCAATTTCAAATCCATATGCATTTACATTAGCGCATTTAAGTACATACAGTAAGTATATGTAAATATATGTACAGAAATTCATACATATGTATGTACATATGTACATGCACTCATTCTTATTATAAGTATATACTTGTGTATGTAAATATATTGACATAAACAATTCTAGAGGTTCAATTGTGTGTGTGTTCCTAATTATACTATATTATTATTATTATATTTCTATATACATATGTACATACGTAAATGCATACACATGATTTGTATATCATCTAATATTTGTTAAACAGGACAAGATGCATGCAGATGCATATACATATGTATGTATGTATGAATGTATGTTTAGTTAAACAGGACCGACCCCGAATATGTACAAATTATGTATACACATACACACCTGCACGTACCTCTGTATGTATGTTTGTATGTACATAGTTGTAATTCTCTTAAGCCGATGGGTGTGGTGTGTGTTCGAGTGCGTTCGTGAATATTCGATCCTAAATGAAATCAAATATTCGCAGGCGGCAATTTTGCGGCATACAATGTATATTGTACATATGAATGTATGAATGTACATACATATGTAGCTGTAGATACGAGTATGGCATGTCCAGACGGGAAACTTCCACATAATTATGACCGTAAGTCGCGTCATTATTGCATATACATATGTACATATGCAATATACATACATACATGCATGCAAATTTGTATCTACATATGCATGTACATATGTATATTCAAACTGGCACTTTGCCGAAAGGTGTGGTGTGTTGTGGGTGACACCGAATGGATCTCAGTAGCTAATTTTATCTACTTGCAAGTTTATATACATACATATGTATGTATGTACGTATGTACATATATGAAATTCTATCTTCTGAGATGTTTATACATAAGTTATATCCAATTACATGACAACTATCACTGGTAGTAATAACAGTTGTATATGAATTTTTTCTTAGCTTAGGCTCCTGCTGCATTGCATCTGAAACGCGACCTTGGTCATATGCCACTTTGAAAGAGTTGAGACATTCGTTGTGCTGGTACGTCGGTCGAGGCGTTTAAGGAAAATCGATATATGTACATACATACTTATGTATTTATGTACATAGTTCGATATGTTCTATACACTTCACGGATGAAAATCAAAAATCAATGAAATGACAGCAGTGCTGCGTTGAACTCCAGTGTATATATTATGTACATATGTAAATACTTAGTATACATACATACATACATATTTACATACATTTAAATGCACGTAATTATGTACTTGTAGCTATGTAAGGGTCCAATATGCTTTTCATACATACATGGTTATATGGGAGTACGAATACATAAATGCATAAACATTTATGTGCATGCTAGAGCGCCATGACGACGACCGGAAATGCATCCAGAGCATATACACCCACACATATGCATGCACAAAATGCAACGCATAAACATAAACCAGACAGAAAGAGTCAACAAAGGGGTGTGCGTGTGAGCGAGAGAGAGAGCCTTGAAGTAGACATTAAATCGTGCACAAATTTGCATGCCATCGACCGAGTCCTGGACCTGACTGTGGGTGCAGCATAGCAGAACAGGAGCCAGTGCAGCGTATAGGTGTGGGTTAAGGAGGTTGGAAGCGGGGAGCGCGGGTGTACAGTGGTGGTTGTTGCATTGGTCATTCCTGTTGCCGCCATATAAGGGATGTTACTGCAGAAAGTGCAGCGAGAGCCGAATGCAACCAAAAATTGCACTTGAGCTGCACTTTACCCGTGTGTGTGTGAGAGTGTATGTGCCTGATAGTAATCCATGGGCGGGGGCGGTATAGGGGATGATGCAACGAAAATGCATGCGAATCGTGGTATGCGGCAGACGAATATTATACACATACAAGCATATATACTAGGAGCATGGAAAAGCAGGAGAAGTCTGTGCCTGGACATGCCTGGACAGCGACACTGACAGCAACAGCGACACCGACTGCGGCGACGACTGCAACTGCATCTGCCGTTGCAACTGCAACTGCACTTTGTTGAGAGCGCCGGCGCTGGCAAAGCATTCGCGATGGGCCCTTGGTCCAGTGCAAGGACCTGTACCCACATCCGCCGCTCATGCTGCTGCTGCTGTCGCTTTTTGGTTATCGTACACAATTTTTATCTCATAATAAGCAAACCGAGTCTGCCCCTCTTCTCTCTCCTATTCATCAATGCATAGTCGACGTTGCGATGGAGCAGTAGGCGATGATGGCGGATTTTTATTCTCAATTATTTCGGACGCCGCATTCACAAACGCAATATTCCATGGAGTAGAACAGCCGACTGCGGATCGTCCAGACCTCGCGGAGCATTTTTATTTCTCAAATGTGCATAACTTAAATTTTAACATACACACATACGATATACGGATTGTGATACAAACAACAAATTAAACTCGCATTAAAAAGAGAAAACATCGAGGATAAATATTTTAAAAATTAAAATAAATGGAATTTACCTGGCATCGTTGTATACCTTAGGATGTATCCATATCCTATAAACGTACAAGCCATCCAGGCTTTGTTACTCAGAGCCAAGTCTGACCGTTCTGACCTTTTTTTTCTATTTGTTTTCAGATCATCATAATTTAACAAAAAAAACAATAGACCAAATACGTTTTTAAAACTAAAACCTATAGCCACCAAAGAAGTCCACGCTAACTCAACTCAAACCATCACTCAGTTTTAAAAGCAATAGAACGGATGCAGTTATAACTTCTGATTTTTTTATCAATACTCATTACAACAAACGGGATAAATAACATCAATTTTAGACCTGATTAATTAAACCAACAGCAACCACTAAACAAAGCATATAATATATAAATAAAAGCCAACTCTGTCAACCAAAAATCAATAAACGAGAACCCGAGCCCAAATCAGAACCAGAACAAGCCGTTTAAAATCTATCAAAAATTTGAATATTCAGTTATCGAAAGCAAAAGAATAATTACAAAAAAACAAGTTGCAAAATTGAAATCAAGAGTACAAAACAATATAATGAAGGATGATTAGACGTTAAAAAAAGTAAAGAATAAAACACCAACGTGAATAGAACTCGGAAAAAAATTATAAACGCTTTTCCGGCTTTACCTAGCCAAGGATATTACCATTTTCTAGAAGGGAATGGGATGATAATAAACTATTTATAATGGCAAGAAAAGCGATATAAAAACTTCGTTTAGACTTGTGGATAGATCTTTGTAGTTGTATTATAAGCAGATATTATAGAAGTAACTTAGTATAAACTTTTGACTTGAACACAGGGACTTGACCCTGAACATATTAGAAGGTACACAATCCACAGCAACAAAATACACTCGTGGAATGCCCACTCAAGACACACTGACACCGGAACAGACAGTTTGGAATATCACTTACCCTATAGCTAGCGTTTTTACAGAAGGTTGGCATAACCAACCTCGACACGAAACTCACATGGCATACAAACATATACATACATACATGTGTAAATTATCCATGAATCATACAAAAAACAAAACATTAGTATTTAAGTTTGTATAGTATCTGGAGAGAGACTAATAACATAAGTATATAATGGTAACGCAGTAAGAATCATTACTCCCTAATCGAAAGCAGGTAAAACGGGCTATACTTTCTCCGTATAAACCACAAGCAAAGAATAGGTGTATTATATGTAACTTTGGTAAATTAAAGAAGACATCCGACATTACATCCGAGTACATATGTATGCATATCCATGGTCAGCTGTATCAAATTGTTGGCTTTTTTTTAGTTTTTATTATTAAATATTCAAAATGAACTTGTGGGGAGGCAAGGGTTAGCTAGGCAAGGCTTAGAATTTTATATTATATTTAATTCTATTTTTTATACCAACATATGCCTGTAAGGAGGGAAAAATATATATTTAAAATTTGGGTGATATTTTTGGGCATACAAACAAACAAAGTTATTGGGCAAGGCAACAAATTGTGATGTAAAATTTACGAAAAATCAACTAAAACTATCAAGTCTAAACTAAATTGGAGCGAGCAATCAACGAGTTTGAACAAAAAATGGTCAGTAGTAAACTACTATTACGAAGTTACGAAATCGCGAAACCGCAACGTGTGCCTTATTCCGGCCTTATGTTCAAACAACTTTCAATAATGCATAACTAAATAAAACATATACATATATGGAAGAAAACTAAATTAAAGAATAAAGTGAAAATAACTATACCTAGAGATTCCACTGGAGTATCCTCTGAACTACAGCCTTTCTCATGCGTGGAGGCATAGACGTGTTAAGGAGGATTAGTGATGCATCAGAAATGTGAGTGCACATCATGTAAGTTAACCTCCTCCAAATATAAAGCGATTGAAAATCCTATACATTACCTGGGAGTTTCTTAATACGAAAAACACTCTTAACCACATGACAATCGTTTTCCCAGCTTATTTCTTTTTGAGTGGGAAATGGACGATCCGTCCCAGCTTTCTTAGTGCAGAGCCTGTAGGTGCTGTACTTGCCAGCAAGTGGTAGCACAAATGGGATCGAATGACAAGAATTGCTGACTGACACCTCTGACTTTCTTGCATGTCTGCCCAACAAAGAGAAAGTTAAGAGAGCCTGGATGGCAGGAGCTTACAAGCGCAGAGCAGAAAGATGTGTTAGTAGACACGAAGACGAGGCGAAGATATTTTGCCGAAGATGTTAGCGTTGAGGTCAAACCCGAAGACGTTTGGCTTACTTTGCTCCCCCAACGAACGCTACTCCAGGCCGGGCCGACTCACGCTTCTGTGTACAAGTTCTATTTCTAAGCGAGATGTGTCTGAACTGAACCCTAAGCAACAGTCATATTTATACATCGCCGAGGCGGCGACAAAATTAGTTTTTCAATGGCTCGCGTGCCGCCAGGTTATCGGTAGTCAACGGGGAACACCTTTATAGTTATAGTCGTGGCCGTATCCGCTTCGTTTCTAATGACCGTAATCGTGGCCGTGCATAAAAAAGTCCATACATATATATATATATGTATATATATACATATGTATGTACATATATGTATATACATAGTTATATTTGTACTGTAGATTGATAAATAGCCGGACGCATTGGTTATGAGTGTGACCAGAAAAATTTAACAGTTTTAAGTCCAAGTGAAGTGCTCTTTTCCCCTCACATGATCAAAACTAAAATAAAGAGAAAATATTTGCTATCAAATATATATCACAAATCACATTTCAACCGATCGTTTCGTTCCCCTTTCTACATACATACGCCTTAACATAGTGACTACGAGTACATCCATGTGTACCTATGTACATACAATTATCTATTAATTTTCCCTCCAACAATTTAGCAATCTAGACTAATTGTGAGAAGAGCTCAGCTTGATGGTAATTTAAGAAAACATAACTAAGAGCATTGATAATTTTTATAATATAGTACATACATATATGTATGTACATGGCTTAGGTACTTATATTTACTAGAGAATACGGGAATATAATATAAAAAACGGGAGACGTAAGAATGAATGAACTCTGGCATCTACTATCTACCGTCGCAATACGAAAATTATTAAAGCCAGAACGAAAAAAACAAGCTGTTTATGCTTTTTGGTTGCAACAAGGACTGCAAAGAAAGATAGTTTGTGGCCACTGATCGCGGATTATATGACCTGTCCTGTATTTAGGAGACCACAACGCTCGAGTACCTTCATCACACCTCCATCTGACCTCCTCCATCAGATCCCAATCTCCAATCGAACAATTGATTAATTAATTAATACATTCATACATACATACATATGTACGTACCTGGATACATAATCATACATATTTTTTATCTATACGTATGTATGTACTACATATATTCTAAAACATTTTTTTTCCTTGTAGGCAGTGATTTTATATGAAATACAGATGCTGCGTGGAAGAGCTAACAAACCGCACGAGACTGTCCAGTTCTAATCTTGGGGGTCCCAATCAATGGACGGTTTGTATACAGAAAACAACCAAGAAAAAGCTCCCGACCCGACCACCTTCAGCCTGATATTCAAAATGGACGCCGCGGACTTCTGGCAGCAGGCCCGAGCACCATTCGGCCTTCACACGGCGCTTCATCAACACGCTCCTCCGAACCAAGAGCAGACCCAGCTGCAACATCAGCAACATCAGCAGCATCACCACCACCACGATCACCATCATCAGCATCAACAGCGCCACCATCCAACAATCTCGCAACAACAGGATCACCAGTTACCCCCCAATGCCAATTCAGATGGCACGGCTAACAGCAACAGCAGCAATAGCAACAATCCGTCACTAAACACTAAAATCGAGTCTAGCGGGCCTCAACAACATGACCACCTACTGCAGCATCATCACCATGTCGACCAGCCCTATGGCCCCGATTCATTTAGGGGTCAGCTCTCGGCGCCAACCCCGCAGCTAAGTAATCATCACCTGCTGTTCAATGCCGCGGCTGCTGCCGCCGCAGCAGCCCACCTCAAGTCTACAGCCCTACAGAGTAGCATATCGCCCCCGTCAGATCAGTCCAACATGCTCAGAAACTATGGCCATAATTCATTAAATCCCGTCATCAAGCCTAAACAAGAGCTTGACCAACAGCCGCAGCGTATCGTAGAAAACCGCCAACAGCAGGCGGAACAGGCTTACACTGGTGACTTCTATGATGCGGGTGACGGCTCAGGCAATGGCCCGGATGCCGATGCAAGTGTTACCTGCACTAGCAGCGTCGGCGCGGATCAATTGCAATCAAACCAGCAAACTCAAGAGCAGACTTCAGGAGGTCTCCAGCAACCACAAGTGCATCCCCACCGGCAGATGCCGAGTCCAGGGAGTGGAACGGTAATGCTCAACAAACCGTTATCACAAGGTCAGCAGTCTCCTCAGCACTCAATAACGCCGTCTGGTGGCAGCTCTACTCCCGAAATAAAATACAACAACGACAAAATGGCCAACGAAATTCAGGTAACGCTTTCATATAAAAAAGCACATAATACTTGCATTTAAAATCATTACATCCTAGTGCATATGTACAAACATATGTACATACATATATTTCCTTATTGATGTCCTTGAAAGCTATTTTTCTTTCTACTCTCACTTCAAAGTTTCAAAGTTAACGGCTTTGGCTTTGACCACCGATATTTAGAGGTATTTGTGTGGATGGAGGTGCCTGTTGTTGTACTGCGCGAATACGAGCTACGTACGAGTATTTTCCAGTGTCCAAAGAGCTTCTTGAACCGAGTTTTCTCTTTTCCAATCTCATGGCAACGTTCAAAGCACTAAGAGAAATTCTCAAAATATCCCAACGGCAAGCAATGGTTAGCTATTATATTACTTACCCCTTTTGGAGGGGTAAAAAAGCTCACCACTTTGGTTGAACCCTGAACTGAAGGGGAAATGTTCTTGGAATTCCTGGCCTTTAAAACAGCCCTTTTCTTGCACCGCTTGAGACTTTTTACTTCCTTGGACATCTGTACACGCGGACCAGGCCAGACCAGAACATCCCATCCCCCACTCCAAACCACTCGCCAAACGCAATTCCCCCACGCTATGTAATACGTATATCGACTAGTCTGGGTAAGGGGATGGAAATTGGAAAAAGGGGTTGAGAAGCGAAGTGAAGGGAATGAGTGAATTAGTAGAATGAGAGTCAAAGAGAGAGATATATTTTGAGAGCGAGCATATGTACATATGTATGTACATAAATATATTCTTAGCGTTTGCTTAGTTTTTTGCGCTGTGCTTTTTCTTGAAGTAACCCCATTCGTGAGTATTCTTTCTGTTCGCTTGCGTTCTATTAACATTCGCAATTTCTCCTCCTTTATGTGTGAGTGCCTTTGTCTGTTTGTGTGTGTGTGCGAATCCTTAACTGGTTTCAGTTATAACTTATAAGGCGGGTGGTCTACACACATATACTACACATATACATATGTACATATGTATGTACATACACAACTACAATACAAATTCGTTTCGTTCTTCCTACGCTAGACGTTTCGTTTTTGTTTCTCCTTGCCTTTTCTTGCCTTGTCTTTTCCCCATTCTATGCGTTCAGCAAAGAGAGCGAAAGAGGTTTTCTCATTCTTGGGGAGCTTTTTTGTCTGTTTCTGTCTTTTTTTCATTATAACTTTACTCGCAGCGCATATTTTCTTCAAGAAAACAATAATAGCGTAGCGCACTACGTTGTGCAGAGGCGCAGAGAAAGAGACGCAGAATTAGGAGCTGACGTCGACGACAGCGACGACGGCGCGGTAGTATAAGAAGAAGACCCTGGTATGGGCACGGTGTCCTGTCCCGTTTGTGGATGATAAGCGCAGCGTCTCTGCACCGCCAAGGACTACGGACTACCGGCAGAAGTTCAAAGGACATCGGACCGTAAGGTTGTGTGACTCCGCGCTTCTAACTTCAAAAAATCCGTTCGCAAAAGTTGTCGTGGTCGCGTGAAACTGTAAATTTGATTGACAACAACGCTAGAAAACTACAAAATAAAAAAACTCAAACAAATTAATGGAATGATCTGGTGACACGACGAGTACAACAGAAGTTCTGACTGTAAAAGTCTTTCAGGGCATTGACTGTTCCTGCCTTCACATATGCATACAATATGATATGCATTCTCGTATGAGTGAAAACGAAACAATACCCACAAATAAACAAGCTGCAAAGCAGATTTTTTCGCTGGACGCAGTTTGCTCCGGTTGTTTAATTCATGGCACCAATCTTATGCAGTCCAGTGCAGTCTACTATACCCAACTGTGTAGATAACGCTGATAATTGAATCCAAGTTAATCCAAGTCAAAACCAATTCGACAAGTAACATAAAAAAAGCGTGCGCGCCTCCGAAAATCAACCAAAAACAAAACTTAAGAATTTACAAAGAGCTGTTTTGTATTCGTTCTGTTTTGTTTCGTTTTACGATAGACTGACTAGATCGGTATCGTTTACACAATGACACTTGACTATGAAGAGGAGCACGATGTAATTTTTTAATTTTCAATTTAAACCTAACTTTTCAAAATTAATAGTTTTTCTACGCGATTCCTCTTTATTGGCGATAAGGAGTTTCTTTATTTAGCTAATTTTTTATATATATTAGTTTACGCAACCTTCGATGGATAACAGGTTCTTTATAAAATTGTATTTTTATTATTTGGTCCTCATTGCATTGCTACAAGATAAACTTATATTTTAGGGACTAGTCACAAAATGGTTGTATGGTATAACTTACAAACCTAGATTTGTATGCATTGTAATTTTATTTGGAATATGTTGGTTTTTTATTTTTTTTTATTAAATTTAACATATTAAATATATTTTTTTATCTTGGCTATTCTATAAGAATTTCATATTTCTGTTTATTTTCATATATTTAAATATATTTTTTGTATTCCATTATTGGCAGGGAGACATGTACATATGTACATACATATGTATGAATGAACATTTTTTTTATTTTTCTGTCCAACAAAAGTCAAATTGTTAGGGACGAAACTGCGGAGTCAGATTCTCTGCAAATTTATTTTACATAAATATGTATGTATGTATGTGCAATGTACATATATATTTTTTGTCCTTCCTGAATTAAAACCGAAAACTAATAATTTACTTAGATGAAAATTAAATGTATGTACATACGTACATACATACATATTTACCCACATAAATATATAGATACCCATATGAACATATGTATGTTTTACTATTTACTTGTATTTATTTTGTAAACAATTTGTACCGTTGCAGCTTCAGCTATCCCGGTCGAGCAGCGCAGCCGCGATCAGTGAACGCACTCTTGAAGAATGTTGGTCAACCCTGCAACGAGTGAGTTGGCATCTGTTCCGTTGTGTATAGTACTCTTCCTCAATACTCGTCAAAGACACAAACACAACAATTGTACCACCACAACACCAACACCAACTTCTCAGATTATAACACATTCCGCCATACACCCATGCACACTCAATCGAACAAATTAACGTTAGCGAAACTCATGGCTAAATGAAAACTCATGGACCACTTAAATAAAAAACTAGCCTTCTTTGTTTGTGATTACAATAAGCTCCAATAATGAACTGTGAACACATTAAATGTGACTTTACTTAACGTAAGATTTGTATTCCTAAGTTTTTTATTTATTTAATTTTTAGCCTAAGTTTTACTTTTTTCCATAAAAACTGGTAACCAAACAGCATCCGGTAATACTTAAATTTTTTGCAATAAATTTTTCATTTCTGGACAGTACTTCAATGTTTTACTTTAGTCTACATATGTGTATATGTACGTCCATTTTCATTTTTGTTTATTATTCTTCTTTGATTATACAGGCGCCGCTCACACAGGCCCTCAAGCCAATAGAGAAATAATAATGGCAATCGGATGATGACTTATTTATTGGATTACTAATACATTACATATCCCAAGCAATAATATTCCCGATTTAGAGTTTTAGATAAGCACTTAGATGGCGATGCGTTAAAACTTTCGGAAGAGCTTACTGTCAAGTAAATTGAGCGAATTAACTTTCCCATACCATTTTTCAACGAATACAATAGCAATTAAATATAATTGAATTTTTAATTTTAATATTATGACCCCCTTTTAAAGAGTAGTATTTATGGAAATTTGTCAGCACAAAGAGAGATGTTGCATTTTTTTTACAAGTACGTATGCATGAACATACATACATAAGCACTTACATTCATTTTACATTGAGATAAACATAAATATAGGATGCATGAATATTTTTTAGTTCGAAGACGCAGATGCCTTTACCGAAAATCTCCTGAATGTTTGCTAAATGTTCTATGCGTGACCTTGAGCTATATACTGTATATGATATATGTACTGTATATTTTAAAGCTGTGAATGGGAAATTTTGACAATTTTTTAAGGTTTCAGGGGTTTTTTTCACCCATACCTACATACGTATGTATTTGAACCTATTACATACATATGTATGTACATATTTAAATATGTGCATTCTGTTATATATACACACATCTATACATATGAAAGTAATTGTATGTACATATGTTGTTAAGGCAAACGGCATTATTTTTGTATTCGCCTGCCCCCAAACCAGCAATGTTTTTTCTTATAAAGCTGTCACCCATAGTACATAGAGAATAGCCTGACACAACACAGGCACATTTGTCCACACCACACTTTTTTTGCAACCATTTTTTTTCTTTCAGTTCACATTCGACCAACAGAGAGAAACGTGGTTACCGCCTCCTGCTACCCCTAAGGTATAGGGAATGACGGTATAGGCTTGTTAATGCATTATGCATACTACCCCTGCTATTGTTGTCCATCCCTGTATGATTGTGTTTTAGATGGGGTCGAGGACTTAAAAGAATAACACATCGTGAAAATGCACATTCATTTTAATTCGAAATGTGGGGAGGATATCATTTGATATGTTAATGTTAAATGTTTAAGAAATACAATTAGAAACATTTCTTAACATTTTTGGGAGAGAGAAACGCTTTATAAGTACTAAAATATCTCAGCCAGCTCTCCAGTTTTAGTACTTTCAGTCCGTTAGTTATTGTAAGAATTGTTGTAGGTTTTTGACTTTCATATACTCGAATGTTCAGCACCTCGAACACACTTACGTTTTCGAGAGAATTAGTTGAATATATGTAAAATGTATGTACATATGAACATGCAGATGTATGCACATAAATATGTTTTATATACATATACACGTACATATTATATACACAATCCATTCTCTATTCTCCTTTATTCACATCTTCTGGCTCGCGGCCAGTCCACCTCCCACTATTCCACACACACACACACAGAGACTGAGGACCCACACAGAAACGCCCCGCCATGCCGTGCTGGACCTGTTCTTCTATAGAAATCGCATCGCCTTGCGTGGCCTCGCCTCTCCTAGCCGTTTATTATCGCAATTTCATTTGTCGGCGATTCGCAAACTGCTGTTGGCTGGGTTCTGGACACAGTAGAGAGTCCTGTAGAGTTCGTTCGCCATTTTTATGCGATTCAAAGACGAAGCAAAGGGGCAAAGGCGCCTGTAGTTGTGTCCGCCTCTATCTGTTCCGTTCCTGTGCATGTACGACTACTCACCAAACCCAAATAAATAAAAAGTGCAGTCTTACTCGGCCAAAAACGAGTGGTTGTGGTGAAACGCCGAAGGTTGTTACCGCTGTTACCAGTGAAAACAAAACATCGGCCACTTGGCCAACCAACCAGAGAGCGTCGTACGAAAGCAGCCTAAAATAGCCGTTCGCTCTCAGACTGCACCAACTTACTGTTTGGCTTTTCAAACCGAGAAGGCTATCTGTAGAAGTATTAATTAGTCTCCAGCTACATTATCCTAATCGATAATCTGTTGATCTTGTGTATACGTAAATACATGCATATGAACATATAAAGCTCTTCAGATTGGACCAGTTACATACATGTGTATGTGGTTACATACATACATGGCTCAGTAAATAATTATTATTATAAATATGTACTTTATATTATATGTACGTAAATATGTACATACATAAATATAGATGCATATAGCATACATAAATATAGATGTATGTACATACATATGTACATATGAATGCGGAGAATCAATAATTTGAAAAATGGTCCAACTAATTGGGAATAAGAACTTGGTTCTGTTATTACTTCTTAATTTAAAATTAGGTCGGCACGCTATTTGGATCATTTGATCGGCATATGTATGTATGTATGTACACACATACATATGTACATATGTAGATTCTATAGGGTATCTAAAGTTCTGAAAGTACTACCCGGTACTCGAAGGGTAAATAGGGTATATTGTATTTGTGCTCAAAATTGGATGTACTACTAAACACACAGAAGGAAACGTTTCCGACCCCATAAAGTATATTTATTCTTGATCAGCGTCAATAGCCGAGTCGATATAGCCATGATTGTCTGTCCGTCCGTCGGTTCGTACGTACGTTTTCCGTTTCCGTTTGTCGGCTAGTTCTCAAAGACTATAAGAGCTAGAGGCACCAAATTTTGCCTACAGACTGCTGTATGCTCACAATGATACAGGTGTATTTCAAAAATTAGCCCCGCCCCTTCCGCCACAAAAAGGGCGAAAATCTCCCGAAACTCCATGCCATAGAGAAGGACTATGTCTATCAGATCACCGAATTGGGATCAGGTTGGATCATTATTATAGCCAGAATGTAGAAATTAATTTGCAGTGGCTAAACCCACGTCCAGCAGCATTTTCTGTTTTTAGCACATTCTCTCATCCACACTCTGCTTCGTGCAGTGTGTGGCTCTAGTGGAGGGGGGGGCGTGCTAAAATAGCGTGTTGGTTTGAGAAGTTATGTAGATGTAGATGTAGACAGATGTTGAAAAAATGTAAAATTTCAAATGTAAAATTCGGAAAAAAAAATAAGGTACAGATATACTGACTGAGTACCAGGTATAAAAGTTGTGACGCGTAAGAAGCGTCTCACACGTCTCTTCTCGTTTGGTATTTTATTTTAGTTGTTTTTTCGTTAAAACAATTTTTTTTAAATCAGCAATTATGGCGGCCTCGAAAGGTGAGCAACACCGATTTCTAGATTTTGTATGCATATGTATCTAGACCACCTTTGATATTACCATTGATAGCATTGTTTATTTACCTTTTACAGTTTTGGTTTTTTTATTCTTGATCTGACCAAAAAGACCAACTTTTGCTGACATGTTTTTACTTGTAGAACATGCAACGATACACATTTTTATAAAAACCGCTTTAAAACAATAAAATATGTACATATGTATGTATATGCATATTTATATATACATACATACATATTTATATACCCCTCGGAAACAAAAAAAGTAAAAATGCAGTCGAGATAATCTATAAATGGAACCTGTAGAGGCCGCGGCGGAGACAGTTTGCCCATGGAAGTAGGGACCAGAGACATATATAATACATATAATCGCACCCACATTATTCCCTACAGGATCAAGTTTGAGATTTAATGAATAAGAAGCCTTCTCTGCCGAAGCAGGCTGGGAAGTGTAAAGCATCCTGGCCGATATTTTTAACTGACTCCGACTGGCATTGTTTCAACGTGTTACTTGCATTTTCAGCTTTTTATGCACAAAAGCGCCATGCAACAAATACAACAACAAATTCCTCGCGTCGGGCTGGCGACGCACGGAGTTCCCGGCACGCCTAACATGGGTGGCAATGCCACACCCGGAACGGACACCAAGCCACACCAGTGCCAACAGTGCATGAAGAGTTTTTCCAGCAATCACCAGCTCGTGCAGCACATTCGTGTCCACACTGGAGAAAAGCCGTACAAATGCTCTTACTGTGATCGTAGATTTAAACAGCTGTCCCATGTCCAACAACACACGCGCTTGCATACAGGTAAGTTCATATATACATACTTATGTACATATATGTATATGTATGCACATACAAATAACGAGATGTAAAGAATCATCGTAGTGAACCCAGAATCCTATATCCCATTCCCCGATCCCAAGTAATCCCATCCCATAATTTTTTCTGTCGCAATTTATGTTTTTCTTATTATGTGCTTATTCCTTGTTGATTTTATCTTCTTCATTCTAATTGTAATTACAAAGCTGATGAAAAATGCTTAGTGCTCGTCCTTGATTAATTAAAAACGGCCGACAGCCTCAGTCCAAGCTCCAGCCTCATAATTTCATCGGCACTCAGTCGTCTACTGCCATGGGTCACTGTCTCCCTCTCACCAGTCGGCGTTGGCGTTGCTGCTGTCCCTATCTTATGGAACTGCAAGTACGCATTCGTATTCGTGTATCCTGCGTTCGGAAAATATTTTTTAATTCTGGCAACACCCATTTTCAAATGCAAATGCCAATGACAAAGATAATTAAATAAACTTTGAGTGCTTTTCGAGCAGCCCGTTTTGCGACAGAAGACAGCTGCGTAGAATGAATAGGTCCCGGGAATATGAGTTCACGCCAGGTCGAGGCGAAGCAACAACTGAAATTATTCAACGTCATTAGCTGCATTCAGCGTTATTTGATGGACGCAGACCCTGATCCATTCAAGTTCCACCGTCTTCCGCTTTGCTCAACCAAATTATATCACACCTGATTGGAACTTTACAATTGACTGTTTTTTCCTTCTATTTTGGGCATCGTTTTTATGTATTTATGCACATATACGTTTTTTTGTATAAAAGTACTGCAAAAGAAAGCAAATACGCTTTAATTATAAACCAGTTTGCGCACTGCTACGATAACGGCAGCAACGCGACAGCAGCAGGGAACTGAACTCGGTTATAACAACGACAACCTCTGCGATGATGTCGCATTTTGCCTCTTTATGAACGACGGTTGTCGGTTGCTGGTGGCGGGCCTGAGCCGCTGAGTTGGTTCTGGGGTAATTAGACAATAGTGTCTCAGGCGGTTTCTTAAAGGTTAAGCAAGCGCAAAGGAGAAACATCATTGCTACAAGTGCGTCATATAATAGATAGCGAGCCATTAAGTGGCCCAAAGCCGCACAACTAAGTTCCCAGCAAGTCAACGTTACTCCATCGCATATTTAAGGGCGTTTAAAGTGACAGGTCAAATGAAGTGGCGCTAAGGCAGAGACTACGTGCCGCAAGGTGTGAACACTGCTTCAATTTCTGCTCTCGTTGCCGCTGGCTTTACTCTGAGGAGTGTGGGTCTAGGCCATGGCTATGTCTGACGGTGTCTCGACGGTGACCGCATCTTCATCTACACGACTGCACTTTGTAACTATTTATTTGTGTTTGATGCTACTGGAAAGAAAAGTGACTCTAAGTAGCTTAAACGTTTTAGACTTTAGGTTCTCTGTCGCCAGTCGCTGATGTCCTATTCCTATCTTTGTTCCTGTCGCTGACCCATACTTTTCATTTAATTGCGCGTTCAAATGAAATTAATTTTGCTTCAAATTTAAAATGCGTAATTTCCGGAGAGCTGCAAGGTTTAAACCAGCAGCCAAGTTGCACTGCTTCAGTTGGGCACCAACGGGATTTTCATCATGGTCTAGACGTAATTTTTGGGAGTTGCTGCTTAATCTCGTTAAAATGAAGTCAATCAGTCAATTATAAGCCTTTAGCTATTTTGGCGACTTCTCCGGGCAGTATCACATTAAGGACACACAGTTTTTTATGTACCTAAAACGTAATTTTTTTTAAGCCTTGGGTTTGAGGTAACATACATACTTGGATCATTTTTGGAAATTATGTATATGTTAATTCATTAGTATCATCCATCATCATATGTACAATGTAATAAAAATGAATATTTGGGAAGAGTACACATGTACATACATATATAGATATACATACACAGATGTACAGACATACCGATGTACATATGTACATGCATACTTAAGAACATACATATATTTTAAAGTATGTGTTTTAATTTTCATCATTTATTCTATCCAGTATTAAACATATGTCTATATCTTCATTAAAAATTCACGATTTTATGGCCCATTGACCGATCTTTGACTATTGGTTAGAATATTTATATTTGATTGAATATACAATTGCAGGAGAACGCCCTTACAAATGCCACTTGCCCGATTGTGGTCGGGCATTCATACAGCTCTCCAACCTGCAACAACATCTTCGAAATCATGACGCCCAAGTAGAACGTGCCAAGAATCGTCCATTTCACTGTAATATTTGTGGGAAGGGATTCGCCACTGAGTCCAGTCTGCGAACGCACACATCCAAAGTGAGTTCTTATCCAATTACACAATAGTTAAGAGTGACCCAATCACAACTACAGCAATAACCACATTTTCGCTCTCATTCACGGTGTCGTCCGTGTGGCATTCTATTATTTGTTTCTACCTTTCGACATCGGCATCGATTTCGCTATCGATCTCATCTTTTAATGTGCACGTGTCAAACATCATCACAACCAACCAAACAACAATGCCGCATATTACTGACAGGAGCTACAGCTGCATCTTGGTGTCTTGCAGCAGCATGCAGCACTCATCGGTGGTCCTAATGCAACATCCTGTCCGGTGTGCCACAAGCTCTTTCTTGGTACCGAGGCGCTCATGGACCATATGAAACACGTTCATGAAGAAAAAAGCACACCTCCAAGTGGCACAGGTGAGATCAGAGAAGCCCATGTAATTCCGAGTTTGAATAGTTGTAATCACCTGAATCCCACCAGCTGCATCACATTTCAGTGAGATCCTAAATTGTACGGGTGGCAACGGCAATGATAATGCAATTGTAAGTGGCCCAATTGGTTCGCAGAGTACATCCGAGTCCACCTGTGCAAGGATACCGACACATCCCCCAATTGCGAGTGGACCAAGCCTTAGCGACAACTACCAGGGAAAACGAAGAACTGCCAATCATCCATGTCCAGTCTGTGGCAAGCATTACGTCAACGAGGGCTCTCTGCGAAAGCATTTGGCTTGTCACGCCGAGACCTCCCAACTCCCAAATAGTCTCCGCATGTGGCCCTGTAGTGTGTGCCAGGCTGTTTTCACACATGAAAATGGTAGTAGGAAAAAAGGTTTCCAGAACGGGCACTTTAATAATTTTCTAACTTCTCACAGGCTTGCTCACCCATATGGAGTCGATGCGTATGGATCCGAAACATCAGTTCGCGGCTCAATACGTCTTGGTATGTTACGAATGAAAACCAAATAAACACTTTTAAGTTACACTGTTAGTCTGGGATTCTATTAGAAGTTCGGATCGGATAATTTCGTAATGTGCAGGACTAGAACCCTAATTTGCTTCCGAACATAATTCAATCAAACCTAAACGAGTAGGAACACCTTAGTGTTCCTTAGTGGTTTTTGACATTTTACATTTTTTCTACATCTGTCATCTACTTCTACATCGGGCCGAATTTTGAATACACAGTGTGAGCATACAGAAGTCTGGATGCAAAACTTGGTCGCCCTATCTCTTATGGTCTCTGAGTACTGGGCGTTCTTAAAGACGGGCAGACGGACGGACAGACAGACATGGCTATATTGACTCATCTATTGATGCTTCAGAAAGGCTACTTACTGTGGTTCCACTTCCCCACAAAAAAGAAATTATACTCTTTACTCTTTGAGTACCGGGCATAGAAATTCCGTGTATTAATAGTATGTAACTTGGACACAAAAAAACACAATAAAACAACTAGGATTGGCCGTCTAAGATAAGCCTTTCTGTCAAAATCAATATCGTTTGAATAGATATTACATTTTTTAGCAAGTATATTCTAAAACTCAACAGCGAATGGTTTTTTATGGTTCTTTAAAGTCAAGTAAAAACTCGTAGTACCAACAGTTCGGTCCTATGTATAAAATTAAGAGAAAAAAGACTTGTAGAAAGATTCGTATAATAATAACATGAGAACATGCATATGTCTATATTTAAATATAAAACTATAGTCCCGAGCTGCAGCAGAGCAACGAGAGCGAGAGAGCATATTAGCGGCCACCATAGCCTCCGGCAGTCCATGTGCTGCCAGCGGAATTGGAGTCGGTGAGGTGAGAAACGTACTACCTATGGGTGTGACAAACTCAGGGGGATCCAACTCAAAGTGCCCGTCACCATCAGCCAACTCAGAATGTTCTTCGAACGGAAGACTCTCGTCGTCATCAACCTCCGATCAAGATCAAGACCACGATCTCGGCCTGAGTGAAAACGAGAACAGTAGCCACAATAATATCAGCAGCACAAATAACAACACCCTTTGCACAATCAACAACAACAGCTGTAATTCCAGCAAAATGAACGAGCTGCGTCTTCCAAACTCTAGTCAGTACAATATGGGTACCGGGCTGCACGTCGCCAATCGAATGTCACTTATGGCAGCCGCAGCCGCAGCTGTCGCAGCATCCCGACCCCAGGAGGGTGTTGACTGTTCGAATGTCCCCAGTGCGGCTGTCCAAGCTGCTGTGGTTAATCTGGCCGCCGCTATGCGTATGAACAATCCCAACAATGCTTCTACCGCGCTTGTTGGCCACTCTGGGCATCCACATTCCCTTCAGCACCAACAGCATGTAAGAGATGGTAACGGAAATTAGGGATTAGCGAAGCTAATATGCATAAATCCTCAATCGAAATTTGAAAATTTAATACGATGTTAACATTAAAAGTGTGACTTTCGCTCATCTCTGTTGTTTCCACCAATTTATTTAACCAATTTAACCCGATTTGTTTAATAAATTTCTGTTTGTTTCGGCCCGCTTCACAGCTTGGCGAACATCCTTTGCCACACCATCAGCACCCTCAGCATCTTCAACAGCAGCAGACACCACAGCACCATCAGCAGCAGTTGTCACATTTGTTAGGGCACGGGCACTCTCACCCTGGGAACAATTCCCATTCTCGCCGTTCGCCGAATATAAATGTTCCTAGTTTGCACATACAAAACGAGTCAACAGCTAACGCATCGTCCGTTGCAATGAGCATGAACGTGAACATGTTGCGTGGCTCCCTAGAACCAGACTCAACTTTAGGAGGAATGAACCCTATAGAGGCTCTCCATCATCAGCAACAGCATCATCACCAGGCGTCAACTTATTCACAGCACGCAGTGGCTCCTAGCACTCAGCAAGCCCATTCACAACACAGTCACCACCATCCAGAAACCGCTCTCCGCATGCACCAGCAGGCCGAAGCAATTCTGCGCTCCCATGAGGCGGCATTCCGTTTGGCTGCCAATACCGGCGTAAAAAGCGAGTCAGAGCAACGGTCTAATGGTGGCAGTAGTAATGGTAATACCAGTGCTAACAGTAACGAACAGCATCGATTTCCGACACATCAGCAAGAGCAACAAGTACCGCCGAGCTCATGAAGCTTGGCGGTTATTGTGCTCAGTAGAATAGGTACAGATCGAAATACAGAATCACGTACAACGATTTCGTAATTGCGTCGATTGCAGCAATTAAAATAGGATTTAATATATACATATATATGTATATATTTATATGTATGTGCAAACTTCAATGAATATATTATACTATAAATGAGGTATATACTTCCCCATGTAAATGCGATTACGTTTGTATGCACTTGCAGCAATGACCGTAAGTCAGTGTGCAATATTATATGGAAGTCACTTATCGGAACCGGAATAGAAGTCATATAAAAAATCCTTTGTGTTATGTTTACGTTTATAAGAGTAAAGAAATAAATCACTTGTAAATCGATTTTCTTGGGTTCGTGGGATGTCAGGATCGGATCACAAATATGTAGTTTTGCCCCGGGCTCCAAAATGTAGGGGCGCTGATTCTAACTCGAAACTAGCATATTTTGAGTATGACGGGAGCTTGGGGGCTCCGTTTTACAACCTCGGCACTGCCGCAAATATTTCTTGGTACGGCACTGACCACACCTAATAAATTCACTCAAAATAAACGTTCCCAGGCAGGCTTAAATTCAAATATTGAATATAAACTTCCAATGTTATAGGTCGGACAAAAGGAATAGCATTGAAAATTCGTTTTAATTAATTAATATTTCATTAACTCTCATTTTGTTGTTTTCTTACTCGAATTTAATGAACATCTTATATATCAATTTTTTTAAGATCTATACGCATCATTCACACCGACAACAACGCTCTAATCGATACATTAAATATATATAGTATATATACATACATATATATAATATATATATACATCTGAAATGGGTTCGATTTTAATTTTAATTTTTTGCGGCGGTTGCAGTTATATTACTGTAAATCTTTATGATGACATATCCCTAAATTTCTACAACTATATATATACTATAGCTAAATATATGATCAATTTGGCAAGCCCCCGCTACGCCCTCGCTTTTGCGGCGAACAGTACGAATTTGCCGAGCTGCCAGTGCCACTGAAAGTCTTGTCCTGAGCACGCTTTAAACTTGGCGCGTTGAGGGGCGTCTGTAGTTTAGTTGTAGCAGGATCTACAAAAAGTTCATTAATCATTTAAATTTATTGGACATTTTAAAATAAAACTAAAAATTTGTAATTACCCTGCAGCCACCTAACTTGCGTCGCTGGTCCATAACCCTTTTGGTTGCGCGCTGCAATTCGGAATATAATAGCCGGCTTATTCGAGCAATCCACATGAGCGTTGGAAAGCGAGGCGTTCGGAACTGTGCACTGATTGGCTGCACCTACGTATACTCGCACAAAAGCCAGTTGTGGCGACGCTAGCGCCTTGTCCTTGGTCGTGGGCTTTACAGCAAGGTATACGGAGTACTCGACTATCTCCTTTGTTTTCTGTGCCGGAGGCGGCTCCCATGTTAAATGAGCACCCTCCTTAACGTCCTTCGAAATCTTTATTGCCGATGGGGCACCTGGGAAGCCGGGCAAACAAGTTTTAAAACTGGAAATCTGTAAATAGATAAATGTGGTAGCAGATAAAACTATAAAATGAAACACCTAAATTAAATCAAACCTCTCCCCATTCGCCGCGACCACATGAATTTATAGCAGCCAAACGAAAGCGATAAGCTGTTCCAGGATCTAAGCTTATGCGTGGATATTGATTAAAGTCCGGCAAGTTGTCGACATCTAAGCTTTCGAGAAAAGTATCGTTGAAATACTTTGAGTCAATATAGCTGGTAACTGTATGCGAGAGGTCTTTGAATACCCCCACTGTTTGCCATTTCTCGATTTCGTCCTGCGATGTGTTTTGCACTGCAACGGCGATGGCATTTTGTTGATCCTAAAAAAACAGACAATATAAAATAATAAAGGGGATTGCTTTAAGGTATTGTTCAAGCTACAAACATTGGTTTGTGGATTGTCAGCAGTTGCAATTGGTATCTGTGCTACCGAGCCGCTTCCCGATCGTTCGAACACACTTTTAACCGCTTGAATAGTGTTCACCGAAGCGGTTGCATCTGCCGTTTCTGCTTGCATCACAGCTGCTGAGGCTAATGCCTCCAAATGTGAGCCATCCACTATAACAAGAAAATAAAACGAATATCAATGCAGTGCCCTGTCATACCCGAAAGGAAACAAACCATTTTGGTGTTGATGAGGTTTACGAGGCATGGCCATGGGCTTTGATCCTGGACCAAAATCGCCGTCTGTATCTCGAGTCCCATCGTCTCCTGCACCACGAGTAGTAGAGATGGCCTGATCTTTACCGACTACTCCGCTCCCCAAAACTGAAGCCTCCCCAGCTTTTATGTTTGTTAGTATAGTGGCGGCTTCAGTCTCAGACGTTGTCGGCCTGCTGCAGGTACTGTCCGAGGATGAAGGCTTGGCCTTTGAAAATAACAAAAGTAATATACATCAGGACATCAGAAAACACTACTTACCATAAACTCAATGCTAGTCATCTTCTCTTCCCCGGATTGAGCGCTATGAACACTTTCGGTGATTTCTGCTGGAGTTTCCCTAGCATCAGTAGTGCTGCTGACGCCGGTTGTATCTTCAACAATGCCCACTTGGTGGTCAGTTAGCCTTTGATTGTTATCGCTTGAACCACTTGATGCTAACGGGCCTTCAGAATGGCCTAATGTTGAAGTTGACGTTGATGTGGCATTGTCTTCATTTACACCCTCTTCAGATCTCGCTTGGGCTTCAGGTGTAGGATGTTTTTGTAATAGATCGCCAGCACCATCCAACTGCTCTATTATATCGTCCATAGGATCAGTTTCCCCTATTTTTACAATCGGAATACTCTTTTCGGAGACGGCCGCCTTCTGTATCTGAACCTGTGCCGACTGTACAATCTTGGCTGGCACGCTCTTGGTCGCCAAAGTTAGGGCACGGGAATTACCACCGGCATTAAAAATGTTAACGAAGCTTTTTCTGGAGCTAAGTGTGGTGGTAGAACCAACGGTTGTCGCACTTGTCCCCGGCAAAACCACTAGTTTATTTGAGTTACTGCTAGAACCAGCAATTCCAGCATTCGTGCTCATTACCGTGACTGGTTTGCCGCCTATAAACAGAGCCGTTTTTTGCTGTAGAGGAGAACTACTCAGTTTTTGTCCAGTAGCTACTGATCCAGGTGCTGATGAAATGTTGCGTATCATTTTGACACCACTCTGGTTGGAAATCATGGCTCGTTGCCCACCAACCGCCTGCAATGTACTAGTGGTGGTCGACGTGGAACCCACTATGCTAACTATGCTTGTCCCCGTTCCTGTCCCGGCTGTGCTCATCACAGTGCTGGCAGGAACGGTTCGCAGACTGCCGCCTGTGGTGACAATAATGATCTGCTGGTTGCCTAGCTGCGTCCCCTGCTTGTTTGTTATAACAAAAGCAGGCTTTCCGCCCATTACATTTGGCGTAACCTTTCCCATTTGCAGAATGTTTGAATTCTTCATGATCAATTTTCCACCACTGGCCATTGCGTGGGGCGAAACAAGCTTCAGTACGTTGCCAGATACAATAGATTTATGTTGCTGGCTACCAGGCGTAGTCTGTCCTACTATTGGTGAAACTGTTGAGCCAGCCGGAGACGATGACTTTTGCTGTCCAGAAGAGATCTATAAAAAAAAGCATTTCAGTTACGTGTTTACGCTTTGCGTTTTATGTGGCGGTTGCCTCACGCTTACCTGAATCTGGGCAGAGGCAGCAGACAACTGCTGATTTGTTATTGAAAGACCCTGTGAAGAAGCGCCTTTGGCTATATTAAAGTTCATCTTCGGCAGCGTCTGTACCGTCATACCGCCACCACTTGTTTTAACAAACTGCAGCTGCACATTTGGAGCAAGGGTTAGCGGCTTTTGAATAAAGTACTGCTTGCCACCTATTGACGTTGTTGCCTGTCCCGTATGCTGCGATTGAACAGCAGTGCTTGGCAGTGCAGTTTTTATATTAGTTGCGGTGCCTGCTCCAGTGCCATGGGAGGATGCTAGCCGCAGTGTCTGAGATGCAGTAACGCTGGGTACGAGGCGTAGGCTGCCACTTGAAGCCGTAGAGCTTAGCACTACATTCGATGTCATCGAACCAGAGACGCGCACAGACATAGGGTCACCGCCAGTTGCTATTGCTACTGCTGCTGTGGTCGTTGAACCTGGCCTTGAAGGGGCTAGACTGGGACGAAACTTTTGCAGCATGGCACTGCTACTACTGGTGGTTGCAGTACTGCTGATTATAGATATCTGCGGTTGTACACCGACCGTTGATGTTGGCAGAGTAAAAGAAGTTCCGGCCACAGCTGTTACAGGCTTCCCTTGAAATTGTGTATTCGTCGATACCGATTGAAACATGTCATTGAATCCTACGCTCGTCAGTACGGAAGCAGATGCTGTCTTAGTCGCAGTTGTTAGTGGTTGCACCAGGGCTTCTGAAGAGCTAACTGGCCCCGCACTCTTTTCTAATTTCAATGAAGCACCGCCAGCTTCGACTAATAATCGAGAGATTGGTTTCATTTGCAATTGTGTGTTTGGCGATGGAGACTGCGAGATGTCAGTGAAACCAAGATTTCCCAATAAAGATGCCGGTTTCGTTGTACATGTGGTTGGCTGAACGGTTGCTTCAGTAGCGCTTGTAGCCCCCGCCACATGATGGAGCAATGAAATCTGACTCTTTTCGCACTTGAAAGCAGCAGCAGGCGCTTCAACTACACCTGACGGTGTAATTTCGGAGCCATTTGGTGGTGGAGCTACTGTAGACGTTGTTCCATATTGCACCAGACTTTGAGCTGATTGCTTCGAGCTCGTATGTGCTGCTTGCTCAATTTTCTGAATCTGCAACACATAGGCTGCTGCGAAGGTGGTTGCAGTCCAAGACAGCTCAAGGGCATGTGTGGATGCGCGCACTAGTGCCACTTTAACTGCATAAAGAGGTTTCGCAACCTCCAAATACCAGAGGTCTTTGCAGCAAACCTGTAAATAAGAGTGCATTGAGTAAAATTTCATTTATTATGATCTAAATACCTATTTGTAAAGACCTTTTTTTAAAATCAACATCCTGCAGCTTATGCATACATAGATTCAACCAAGCAGGCCTTTTATTAAAATCAATATCCAACAGCTTATACATTCATTTTTTTAATGAAAGTCTATGAAGTCGCTCTGGTCCACAAAATATTACCAACAGAAAGTAGTTTTTCAATACGGACTGAAGTTCCTTGAAACCCAAGAATTTTATAGTAAAATAACTGATGTGATATTATAAAAATTCCAATAGGGTACACCACAATAAAAAAAAACGAGAAGGGACGTGTGAGACGCTTCTTACCCGGCACTCAGTACTACATCTGTACTTTAGCATTTTTTGTCAAATTTTACATTTTTTCTTCATCTGTCATCTACATCTACAACACTTTTCACGCGAACACGCTCCTTTAGCTAGTGATCTGATAGATATGGTCCTTCCCTACGGAATGGCGTTTTTAGTTTTCGTTTATCTTCAAAATTGTATCTTTGGGAGGTTTTCGCCCTTTTGCGGTGGCGGGCTCATTTTTGCAATACACTTGTAACAGTGTGAGCATATAGTAGTCTGAATGCAAAATTTGGTGGCTCTAGCTTTTGAGATCCAGGCGCTCAACAAGACGGACGGACAGACAGACAGACTGGAATAGACTCCGCTATTGATGCTGATATATATATACTTTATGGGGTCGGAAACGTTTCCTTCTGTGTGTTACATACAACCGTTATACCCCACAAATACAATATACCCTATTTACTTTTCGAGCACCGGGTATAACAAGTGCGCCTTTAACTTTACCTCCATGGTAGTGTGGAAAAGAGTTACAAAGATACAATATACTTTAAAACATCTCCTTTCCTTGCTAGTACATATATATAGGTTAAATTCGAAAGCAAATAGTTTCTTAAAAGTTAAACAGGAGAATATCTCACCCTAACCTGGTTGTTCCATGCCTTGCGGTAGCCATCCCGACCCGACCACACATATAGGCGACTTTGGATGCCAACAGCACAGTGGCCGGCACGAGCCCGTGGCACGTTTTCCTCCACAGTGTCCAAGGTGACATTGTCCCAGGTCATAGTGTCTAAAAATATGTAAAAATTTTAAAAATAAAAAAATAAAAAAGGGACGAGAAGGGACGTGTGAGACGCTTCTTTCGCGTCACAACTTTTATACCCGGCACTCAGTACTACATCTGCACCTTAGCGGTGTTTTGTCAAATTTTACATATTTTCTTCATCTGTCATCTACATCTACAACACTTCTCACACCAACACGCTCCTTTAGCTCGCCCCCCTTCCCTAGACCCACACTGCAGACTCGCGGCAGAGGCAGAGTCAGCGCACACACACAAACAAAAAAACAAATATAAGCTGCGGGACGGGGTGGGTTAAAAGTCGGAGAGGCAGAGGGACGGCAGAGGCAGAGGCCGAGTGAAGCAGAGTGTTAATGAGAGAATGTGAAAAGAACAACAAAAGTTGCGGAACAGGGTGGGTTTAGCCACTGCAAATTAATTTCTTCATTGTGGCTATAATAATGATCCAATCGGATCCCAACTTGGTGATCTGATAGATATGGCCATTCCCTACGGAATGGCGTTTTTAGTTTTCTTTTATCTTCAAAATTGTGCTCATTTTTTAAATACACTTGTAACAGTGTGAGCATACAGAAGTCTGGATGCAAAATTTGGTTTCTCTAGCTTTTATAGTCTCTGAGATTCAGGCGCTCAACAAGACGGCCGGACGGAAGGACGGACGGACAGACAGACAAGGCTCAATCGACTCGGCTATTGATGATGATCAAGAATATATATACTTTATGAGGTCGGAAACGATTCCTTCTGTGTGTTACATACATATATTCTGTATTTGTGCACAAACACAATTTTCTTTTCGAATACCGGGTATAAAAAGGGAAAATAAAACGAGGAGGAATGTTGAGTAGCCTTCATAACTCTAATGTATGCATTATGATTTTTTTGAATTTAAATTTTTTTATACATATATAAGCTACTATGTGCATTCTCAAATCAACACGCTTTTTAGCTCGCCCCTTCCACAGAGACGCACACTGTACGGACGAAGACAATATAAGTATAAGTATATGACTGCAAGCAACATTTTGACAAGCGTCGAAAAACCTACCCCCTCACCTATGTATGTATAAGAGCATAGAAGTCTAAAATGAGAAAGCGCTTGAATGTGTGAGTACGCACAAGAAAAACAGCATGAAATTTCTACTTCTTCAAAAATGATTTTTCTATTGACTGGAAAACAAAGTTTTTATTCTCTATCTTCGTATTTAATTTTTGTCGTGATATGTATTACTTGAAATAATAAATCATCATATATTTTCTGTAAATAAATTTCAGGCAGATCACAAATTTTGAGAAAATCGTTTGCTGGTTACACGTACATATGTAAATATTTATGCATGTATGCTTACTTACTTCAAAAAAATATGCTTATTGACATGACACACGAATGCATACCCTACTTGCTTTTACTCACTGAAGTTTTGAATGAACCACTTTCAACAAACCTATACATGCAAGGAGATGTAGAATACGTGTGCACACATACATACATTTGTCGAGAGCCTATATCCAGCGCTAGACCCAGGCAGAAAAATTCGTGTGCAAAAAAATCGTATGACATTATCCATTTTAAACTTCTATTGTTTTTGTCTATTGTCGAGGAAGTGTGCGAACGAGAGAAAATTAGCAAAGAATAAACAAAGCTCTTGGATGGGTGGGGGGTAGACACTTCAAACTATTTTCTTCCTTCTGGCTATAATAATAATCCAATGTGACCCTTAGTCGGGGATCTGATGTCTGTGATGTCCGAAAATCTGAAGTTATGTTGATCGGTTCATTATCAAGCCAGAATCAAGAATTTCATTTGAAGTGGCTACTTCCTTTAGTTAAGACTAATGACTAATTTTAGAATGTTACGCAGAGTTACAGAATTAAATTTTACAATATTTACATGTACATAGATGGACATTGGTTTTTAAACCATTAGATGTAGCGCGTACTTTTTTGCATATGTAGCTTATGACAATTGCAGCTATGAAACGGATCTTAGCTTTAGCTTACCGTCTCGGATTGAATGCTTTCAAATTAATTTTTGAGCAGTATTTGTTCCAAAATGTGCAACACAAATCAGTCAAAATAAACAAAAATTATATCCTGCTTCTTTATATTTTTTGTGTTAGGTGAATTAATTAAGCAACGTTTAGAGAATCGTTCACAATATATACATATTCACAAATATACATATTTGGAAAAACAGTTGAGCAAAAATAGTTGGACGCTTACTAACACTTACTAAAAATACAAAATCAAAAGCTATATTTTTGAAGCCTATAACTAAGACCTATCTATACCTATACCAATCTTTCTTTATATTTTTTGTACCTTTTACAAGCCCTAATCAATACTGGTATAAACACTCCCACAAACATACATAAGAATATGTATGGTATGTCCATATGATATTTTTACGTACCCAAATCAAGGACTGCAAGCGTGTTTGTACATTTCCATTCGCGCTCCGTTGTCGACTTCGAATCATTGATTACCAAGGGAACCCATCCTCCAAAAACATACATTTTGTTGGCAATCATTGTTGAGCTATGTAATGAGCGCGGCAGAGGCGCTTGTCCTAGTGTGCGCGGTTTGGACCAAGTCATTGAATCTGAAGATTATCGATTACATGAGAACACTTGGGTTAGTTCTAATAACGTAAAAGAATATTACCAATGTCGAGCAGCCATAAGTCTCCCAAACGACAGCCACTCATTCCTCCGTAAATTAATAGGTTCAATTTTCCAGTGTTTTTACTTGAAAACGAAATACCGGTGTGGGACTCACGGGGTGGCGGACTGTCGCCGTATGTTTTTGGTATAATCCATTTACCATTGTGACTGTGAACTCCTCGTGTGTCCAGTATGTACAAATCATTCAAGTATCTGGTCAAATACAAAAATATTTTTTACACTGTCCACAGGCTAGTGAAACTATTATTTACTTTGGAATATTGTTTTTTGGGTCGTCTGATTCATTTGCAAGGCCACCAAAAAGAAAAATCTTTTCGCCAACCATTGTGAAACTGTGCCCCAAGCGTGGACAAGGTGACACGCCGTTGTCTGGAGATTCAGGGTACATTTTTCTCCACTCCCACTTGGTCGCTTGGAGTTCATAAAGTTCGTTTGAGTACTTTCCGTATTCAATCATCCCACCGAAAACAAACATCCGCGTTCCCTCAACAACAAAACCATAAGCAGCGCATCCATTGGGAACATCTCCTTTGAGCACTGGAACGTACCATTGATTCGTAACTGCAATGTGATCATATACACGATACGAAAGGTTTTAGTGAGAAAATGCTTTATTACATATCGTTGTAAACTATGTTAGCAGACTCAAAATACCTGTGTTGTAAACATGCAATTCGTCAACAATTCCTTCATTTCCACCGCCAAAGACAACCATAAGCTCCTTTATATTTATGGCACGATGCCCGTGTCTCGGTCGCGGCTGTGGTCCTGTCGGATTGAGAACACGTTTCCAACGAAAGCCGGACAAGTTCGTGGCTACACTGCTTTCTCGTAAACTTTCCTCTGTATCCATATCATTGGATGTTTGCCCCTCCGAATGCCAAGTCTGATCCTTGCTCAGATCTTCGGATGCAGCTGATATAGCTGTAGCTATTCCTCCTTTCTTTGACCCAGCGAAATCTGAACTCTCCATGTTGTGGCGTTATTTTAAACTGTACACTAGATAATTCCAATAATGTTAAATTGAAACGAATCCAGGATACATTCTTGTTCATAAAAAACCGCGAATACACCTGAAAATAATCCAAAATATATGCATTTTATTTTATGACCCGCAGTGTGACCGTGCAGTTCCATGCCGGAAAATTGGAATTTTTCGGTAATTGTTAAAAATACCGCGGCTTACAGTTTTACATTCTCACATTGACTACATAGCAAACAAAAGCAAGCTGCCATGAAATGGGCACACTTCGGTAGGTGCTTTTCCAAACTAAAAATACCAAAATAATTGATATACAGCGAAAGCAACTATATGCGCTACAATTTATTTGCACATGGCAATGCTGGAAATGAACGCTTCACACTTGGCTGTTCATATTTTTTGAGCGAGCACTGTTTACATATCATGCTGAATTTTTCACTTATCCAGTCTCTTACTGAGTTCTTGATTCCAAAGATGCTAGTAATGCATTGCTTATTTTAATAGAAAAATAGACCTCACTCACTTCACCGAATGTGCAAAAAAGCCGAACTACAATACACCATACAACCATACAACGAAGCACTAGAGATGTGAATATATTAGAAATATCGATATTTCAAAAAATATATTTTTGTCAAAAATATCGCTTTATCTGTATGACTATTTTGCATATATTTCTTTGGTATTTTTTTTGAAATAACTTTTATATTTCGCTTTGTCGCAAGAATATTTAGCGCACCTGACTGGGCTTAAGTCGAGATTTAAACTGTCAGTTTTGCAATAAAGTAATAATAGTCAGTGTGTTTATTTTTTATACCCGGTACTCGAAGATTAAATACTATATATTGTAACGTTTCCGACCCCACGAAGGGGAGGACCATATCTATCAGATTACCGAATTAGGGTCACATTGGGTCATTATTTTAGCAAGAATGAAGAAATTCATTTGCAGTTGCAAAAACAGCAGCTTTTTTGTATTCTTTGCAAATTCTCGCATTCACACTCTGCTTCGTGTAGTGTGTGGCGCTAGGGGAAGGGGCGAGCTAAAAGAGGCTGTTGGCGTGAGAAGTGATGATGTAGATGACAGATATAGAAAAAATGTAAAAGTTAAAAAACCCGCTAAGATGAACTACTGAGTACCGGGTATACAAGTAGTGACGCGTAACAAGCGTCTCACACGTCCTTTCTCGTTCTTTAGACATATATCAGTGTATATTTTGTGACATCTTCGTATACATATATGTGATTGAGCTCCTCTCCTCTCACTGTGGTTTGGTCTTTTATGGATCAAATTTTCGTCTGTTTTCTAAGTTTTTGTAAATTGGGTAAAATTGTTTTCTGAGATGCACTGAACATTGCCAGACGCAATGGGGCCCAAAAAGACTGCCGAACAAATCATGTAACATTGATGCGAAATAGTAGAGTACAAATAACAGGTGAAGGTTATGAAAATGTGCATTAATGCATGTCTCAATCGTGGGAATCTCAATCACAAGAGGTACGTATTTAACAAAATGAGCAAAGACAATTCGAACGGAGAAAAGGGCGCCGGTACTTTATTGACACTCGCAGAGAAAATTTCTGACAACGCCAACAAGTAAATAGAGCATTTACACCCGCTTTCTTTCTTCGCATTCCACTACCAGCTTGAATATTATGCTTATCAGAAAGTTTTGAGTATTGGTATGGGTAAAGGATGTCTCCAGTGTCATTCGCTCAAATATAATCTTGGGAAAATGGTATGTGGTGAGCATCAGAAAAAGTGCAACTAACTGAAGTTGAGACAACACCGAACCCATTGAAAAGTTTACTTATCGGCACGGACCCACATTCGAATGTCTTCCCTAGGTCCATTTGAAAATTCAATTAATGCTCCCATTCAATTCAGAGCATCGTTTGAGACTCCCTGCTTACAACGACGTTCGGAAAGGCTATCGCATCACTTCTAGTGTGGCCCTTTTGCAATTGCCAATAGCAATCGATAATATCGATTCGGATCGCTTAGAAAAAATCAATAATACTGGTGCAAGTGATCAACAAAACAATCCCACATTTAACGAGGAGGAACGTTGTGAGAAGCGTCGTACTCGTCCCAACTTTTATCACCGGTTCTCACTTAGTATATAGGAAATAATGTATAAGAATGTACACGTATTCATATTTACATCTAAATACATATTTATAAAGACCCCTTATATGAATGGCTGCAACGACTGATTATTTTTGCAAATTACTGCTGTTCGTTCAAGGATGTCGAAAAAAGAACCGTTTCTCTATCCTTATACCAGAACATATGATGCTGACGTTTTTTTTCCTACTGACAAAACCTGGAATATGCCGACCGAAATCAAATTAAAGTGTGGCTTAGGGTGATAGGCCGACACTCCACAGTCTAAGGTCCGTGGGATCAAAACCCATATTTTTGCTTTCTTCAAAACGGTTTTTTCACTAAAGAAATCTTTATCTACGCCCACTAAAGCTGCGTTTAGACGAAGAGTCTGAATCGCAGATTCATGTGAATGTGCTATGCTTACAATTAAATTTTAAGGATACAATCTCAAGGATTCACAGAATATCAAATCGATTTAGATATTTGCGCAAAGTCATGCGCTCGGAGCTTCTCGGCTATGTCTCGCTCATTTTGCCCTCAGCTATGATCCACGATTCATGCCAAAGGATTAAACGTGTAAACAAAGCGTTCACATGAAAGCTCTACGCGATTTAGACTCAGCGTCTAAAACAACCTTAACGCTTTTCTTTGCCACACACCTACCAGAACCTACCAGGTTGACTGAAACTGCATTACCGGCGCACTACTTTAACCCAGAACGTCTCGACATGCTATTTGGCTACGCCTGTTTTAAAAACTAGCATCTAACAGATTAATCTGGACTTTTTAATAACTGCGTCACCAACGCACTGGTCCAAAACATATTGCCAACGAAAACAGTTTGTCTCGAAATTGCATTTGCCAAAGTTTGCACTGTCAAAGAGACTACCTATAGGCCATCCAAAGTGCTGTGTATGTACATACATCACCACTAGTGATGAAAATTTAAAATTTGACAACACACCGCTAAGGTGCAGATGTAGTACAGAGTGCCGGGTATAAAAGTTGTGACGCGTAAGAAGCGTCTCACACGTCCCTTCTCGTAAGTTTTTTTATCTTTTATCTTCAAAATTGTAGCTTTGGGAGGTTTTCGCCTTTTTGCAATGGCGGGCTCATATTTGCAATGCACTTGTAACAGTGTAAGCATACAGAAATCTCTATACAAAATTTGGTGGCTCTAGCTTGTACTTGTTGGTCGTTTTTTAAATTTTAAATCCATTTTTAAAAAGTGGTGCTATTATTTTTTTCGCCTAATTTTACCAGTTTCACTAAAATTCCTCGAATAACTTAAAAGCCTTACAAAAAAATAAGCTTTTTGGTTGTTCCCAGATTTGTAAGAGTCTTCCCTTTCTAAAAATGTTCTTAAAGTTTCCTTAAAGTTAAAAATTTGAGTTGGGCAACTATTTAAAAATTGCTTGTGGTGGTGGTGCTATTATTTTTTTCACAGCTGTACATATGTACATAGATGCTTTTATAAATCTCCTTTTAAAAAATCAGCGAGTGAAGCCGCTGTGGGCTTGCAAGTATAGAGGCTCTTAAATAAACCAAAAAATTGTCTATCTTAAAATATACCCTATTTACTCTTCGAGTACCGAGTATAAAAAATTTATCTTTTCATCTCACAGCTTATTTGAACCAGATACCTCAACCAATTCTAAGTTTCACGTTTTTTAATGATCTAGTCCAATCTTAGCCAACAATGGAATTGAAAATCAGACTATTGAGATGACGGAATTATTAAGTTTTGGCACTTTAAAACAGTCAAAATCGAGCAAATCCCGATTTTTCCCGATTTATGGTTACGGTCTTGGTGCGGTTCAAAATGATTGGTTGGTGAGAGCCGCTGCAATTTGCATTGTTTACGATTGCAAGAAAAAATTCATTTTAATTCAATGGTGAGTCCATAAAGAAGCAGACAAAAATTAATATATTTACATTTCTTAGGATTAAATTGCTATCTGATCCTGGTGATTGCGTCTAGATTTATACAATTTGCAGAATTCCCTGATTGAAAGAGCTATCAATATATGTTTGTGAATGATGTGTGAAATAATGAGATATATATAATGAATGTACATGTGTATGTTTGTACATATGTATGCATATACACATTTTTGGATACTTCGTAGTAGTTCGTCATTGGGGCAAATGAACTTGCTAGGAAAATGTTTGTCCTACGCTACGCTACTATCGGAACGCCGCAGTGCAGAAAAGCTGTGATAAGATAAAGATAATGAAGACAAACAGCTGTCAGAATCTGTTCAAAACTTCTTCAAATAGCGGTGTCGATTAACAAAGTACCGCAGTCGTTCATATTAGGTTCTTGTCTTCAGTTTTATCTTACAGTAGTATTTACAACTTAATAATTTTATTATCGGAGTTACACATCATCTGAAAAGTGTATGTATGCTTGGTACTAGTTTCGAAATAACGATGTGCGATATGTGATTAATCAAATTTAAATGAATATAAAATAATACATATATATATATCCTCGATATCCATAATAGATACATATATAGAGACCATATGAAAAGGTTAAAAACATTTCAGCCTAAGAGAAAGTCGTTATATACATTATATATCAATATTAATTTATGGAAATAGGGTATGCAAATGCCCATGCTATACTATATAAACGTAGCAATCCCATCCCACTCACGTAACGTTGTATGCTATTTTTGTTTGTTGACCATTTTAGTTTTTAACTTTGGAAACATTCCAAGAAAAGGAAGTCGTGAAAACCAGAAAATCTTGTGGAAAATTGATTGATACATCGGATGAAAGAAAATTATAGTTTTAGCGCTGACACTCCTAACTAGCTAGTTATATCAAATATAATATCAAAGTCCAGGAAATGGCTGAAAGTTTACGTTTTATGTAAGTGTGGACGTATATTAGTTTTGGTATATTTATGTGATTTTATTCTGTGCTAAATATCGAACCGCAAAAATTAGGAGAGAGAGGAGAATATCTTGCTCTCTCTGCTGACCTAATCCTCTCTTTGGCATGTGACCGCAGGGTATTGCAAGAAAGTAAAAAAGGACGAACTTTTCCATAAATCAACTACATAAGGAGGTCTCGTCGGAAAAAATTATGGAATAGTGCGAGTGAAAAGTGCGAGTGAAAGGGCTTTCGCTTGTAAGTGTGAGGGCAACGACAATCGAGTGTGCTGAGTAATCATTTAAAGGCAATGTGAAAAAACATAATAATTGTTTCATAATTTAATGTTTAATACTTTGCTACATAATAGTAGTCTGTGTTCTGAAAAAATAAACATTTAAAAAAATATTGAAAAAAAAAATTTTGTCCGCAACGCAACCCGCAATTGGGTAAAGCAGCGAGTAACTCTGCCACCGACGGGTCCTCCTTATATAGTTGCTTTATGTTCATGTCCTGGCTCCACTGGAAGTTTTGTGACGTATGTCGACACCTTAGTTTTTGTACTATGAAAACGCTTTTGCTTTGTTAAGGCTGTTTTGAAAGCTCTTTTCCTTTGCGAAGGGAGTTTGAACTCCTAAAATAAAATATATTAGTAGTATGGACAATATATGGCTTATAGTATTTATTTATGTATTTATTTTCAATTAAGAATTAATTGCTAATTATGGAATGTGGAATAAGAATAAATATAAATTAAATATAAGTACAGGAGAGGAAGGAAAGACACAATTTACAAATTTGCTTAAATTAAGGTACATTAAATAATTATTATTATTCCATAAAACCTGAAAAGGTTAATGCTGGGCGTCATTATACTGCATATGAGTAATCGGGAAATTTGTTGGTCCTTGTATGGAGGACACACAAGAACAATACTCCAATATAGGGCAGACAAATCGGAGTTTAGACCCAATTATGTTTTGAAGATAGAATAACTGCCGCCCAAACCACTTCGAGTTCATCCTAATATTTACTTATGTTCCCGTTCCCTCTCCCTTTCAGAAAAATAATAGAATTTCTTTATCGATTTTGTTGTTCGCGCCATTTTTTAAAATTTGCAACATTATCAGTTAATATACATCTCTCTTTTAATAATTTACATACATTTACATCCTGAAGAGAAAGCTCCCGTGCTTCTAGAGGGAGTGATTTTAATGAAAAATTCAAATAAAACTTTGTAAAATATAAGGTCATAAGGTATACAATCCAATAATAACGAGTATTTATACTAAGCAAAATTGATTTTTCAATTGGATTAAATTATTGTTTCAGTATTAAATGCAAGCTAGTAATATCAAATATAACATCAAAATCGAGGAATCTGATTTAAGACTACGGTGTATTTTGAAAATGAAAAAAGTATATTTCGGTATATCTCCGGTATATTTTATCGATAAGCTCGCGTTGTTAAAATTGTTGTGCTGATGTTAATAGTCATTTTTATTTAATTGTCCGAGTCCATAATAATTGTGTAATAACAAGAATAGTGGTTAACAAAAAAAATCGGGTCTAGTCGGTTGTCGTTTTGGACAATAACCCCTCTGTTCCCATTGATATTCGCCGCCGCCTCCCTTGCGCTGTGTCTCTTCCCGTGAGTGTGTGGGTTTGTGCTGCTCATCTTAAAAATAGCCTAAAACACATCCAGCTGCTAAAACAACAACGGCACGACGACTCTCTCGTAAAATTAAATAGCTACTCCGTTTCGCGGCGTTTTAACTTAGGCGTGTAAAATATAAAACCGTCTTATTGTGTGTACGTATAGAAATCATACAAAAGCGCTACGATACATGCTGTGTCAAGAAATTGAGATAGTAAATGCGGTCAGGGAAACGAAACTGAACTGGATGTGATATCATCTATGTATGCCCGTATAAACAAGTGTGCTCCCCCTCCCCCCTATTTCATACTCCAACGCATACACAATTGCAACCTAAATCGTCCATTTAGAAGAAACAAGTTTTTAGAATCAATCAATATATTCGAGTGTGTAAGGTGAATGTATTTAAAGACTTGTAAGTATCTAATTCCAATGCCAATGTGGCCAATATCAGTGCAAAGCTTATGACGTCATGAAGTATGACGTAAGTTTTCTGGCCGAGACGTCGCTTGTTGGGGCTGTGGCTGCTGCCATTGCCCTGCGCCGCTTCCTCGCCCACAGTGAAAAAGGGCTTAAATATTTAAATTATATTATTGAAACTATTCATTAGTAAATTATAGCAGTGAATTGCAGGCATTTCCCCTTCATTATCCTTATTTATCATAGTGGCGCCATCAGAAATATGGCGACTCTTTGAACTAAACGAGAGGGTGTTACAAACTCAGCGCCACTGAAGGAGGGGTATGTAGTACATTCAACGCCGGCACAGTGGGCCGTGTTCGCAGATAACTGGGGAGAAATTACATTCGCTCCATCTGGACAATGGTTAATCCTAAAGGGATCATCTTCTTGGTTGTGGGTCGTGAATAGGGCTTGTGGGGCAGCAATGATCATATTCTTGATCATTTTTAATTCGCCGACTGGCAACATAGTGTACTGGCAAAGAACCCAACAGATGTGCTCATTACTTCCATAGTTGATCGAGTACATGCAATACACACATATATGCTTACCATGTACAAGGCCGTAATTCTATTTTTGGATACAGATACCTCACAACTGATTCGTCTGGTATTTGCCGTTTAAAATCAGTTACTACCGGTTTGACGTCATCAGATTGTGAAAGACAGCTGATAATGTGACCATGATCATTATCTTAAACAAAACCAATATCTGAAATCACTGATAAGGCACTGCAGACCCAACCGGATCGTTCCAATTTGCTCTAGATAGTCGCCATTTCGTCATTCACTTCCTTTCCTTAAAGTAAAATACGAGTCTGATATATGTATGTATATATGTTACTTCGTTATCATAAAAAAGCCTGAGTGGTACGTACATATGTATGTATGCATAACCTCGTACTTGTACTCGTACTCTCGTTACAACATTGCGCAGGTCCCATTTAAAAGGAGGAGGAATGTTAGACGTTCACAGTCAGTATGTACATATGTATTTGTACATATATTTATGTATGCATATGCACCTTATGATTTATGTTGATATTGAAATGTTTTAGATGTTTAATTTCTTCATTCTGGCTATAATAATAATCCGATCTGATCCAGACTCTGCAGTCTGATAGATGAGGAATTCTCTATGATTATCTCCTATCTTTAAAACTGTGGATGCAACCTTTTTTCGTCCTTTGTGGGGGCTGAATGAAAAAATTCAGAATATGTATGTAAAATGTTTTAAATATATTCTAATGTTGCTGATGAAGAATATACATATGTACTTAATAGTGTCGGAAAAGTATTCTTCTGCGTGTTACATATCTCGACCACATATATGATATACCCCTTAACCCTTCAAGTACAGGGTGTTACAAAATAAACAAAATAACAAAAACTTTACGTGTGTCGCAGATACTCGGTGTGAAAAGAATCGAAACACGTATGCAGTTTGCATTTAAAGTGCGTGGAAGTAGACTCTACTTATTAGAGTGTGAGCAGGTACGATCACCAGAGGGAGCGAACGGTGCGTGGAGGGAGGAGTTCGTTTTCTATCTGGTAGTGCACGGCAGTCGTGGCGCTCTGATATAACGGTATAACTTTAGAAAGAGAGCTTAAGACGGGACGAGAAGAGATACATATTTCGCAGATTGCAAAAATTTGTTGCCGGTTATGCGATTCCGACACCGATAACTAAAAGAGCTCGTGTTTATTTTAAACAAACTGCATATGTTTAGTGTGGTGACAGGGTTCTGCACACACAATCCCTTGTTGTAGTAGGGAAGAGAAGTCTAGATCTTGTACGACGCTCTCTTTTCACATGTCCTTTGTATGGAAAACCTTTACTGAAAGCACTGGCTGGAGAAGAATTAAATCATTTACATACATATACGTAAAATCGCCCTTACCACTTCCTTAATTTGTAATTTTTAGTTGTAATTTCTTAACATAATATTAACATATCGAAATTACTTTATAGTTTCCGCAATATCAAATGGCCACCATAGATGGAAGACCGGCGCAATATGGAATATCACTTAAGCAATTACGCGAGCTCATGGAGCATCGCGGACGGGAAGGTGTTGCGATGATTTGTGAATTTGGTGGTATTCACGAACTCTGCAAAAAGTTATACACATCTCCGAATGAAGGAAAGTATTTTCATGGTGCAAATATATCAAAATGTGCTTAGGTTCGCGTTACAATCATTTTAGGTTTAAGTGGCTCGAAGGCTGACGAAGAGCACAGACGTGAGACATTCGGCTCGAATATAATACCACCGAAGCCACCGAAAACATTTCTAACACTGGTTTGGGAGGCCCTTCAGGATGTAACACTTATTATTTTAGAGGTAGCTGCATTAGTATCGCTTGGTCTATCTTTTTATAAACCCGCCGACGAAGATGCACGTAAGTGTTGGAATTCCTGATCTCAGCTATAACAGTTTGCAGTTACAGCCGAATCTTCTATATATGTATTTTGACACAGCTGTATTACAAGAGGAGGAGGAACACCATGGCTGGATCGAAGGCTTGGCCATTCTCATATCTGTTATCGTAGTTGTGATAGTGACGGCCTTTAACGATTACTCAAAGGAACGACAGTTCCGAGGCTTGCAGAATCGCATTGAGGGCGAGCACAAGTTTTCAGTTATCCGAGGGGGTGAAGTGTGCCAAATTTCGGTTGGTGATATTCTCGTTGGCGACATTGCGCAGATTAAATATGGCGATCTTTTGCCAGCTGATGGTTGCCTTATACAAAGTAACGATCTAAAGGTAAGTCTATTCCCTGTTATATTTACTTGGATATATTTGAATGTGCTACCGTGCTTTCCATCAAGGTTGATGAGTCCTCGCTAACTGGTGAATCGGATCATGTTAAGAAAGGTCCAGATGTTGATCCCATGGTTCTATCCGGCACACACGTGATGGAAGGCAGTGGAAAAATGATTGTCACCGCTGTCGGTGTCAACTCTCAGGCGGGCATCATTTTTACTCTCCTTGGAGCCGCTGTCGATGAGCAGGAAGCTGAAATCAAAAAGATGAAGAAGGGTATGAATCACATTACACATGTCACAATAGTATGTCAATTAAGATTCACATTGATTGAGGAGAGTACATCTGTCCGCTTTGATGTATGCATGTATGTGCTCGTATGTTTGTGCAAATACGTCATATATCTTGTGGAAATTGATAAACTCGCGAAACTAGATATAGTAAAACCGATCTCCCTAAACTGCTGCAGTTATTTGTATTTTACATATATTTATTATTTATTTATTTTTCGTTGTTGCTATTCTTTCATATTCCAATTGTCATACGAATTGCGATTTGCATGATGTGAATTGATTGTTCCATCATTGAACTCCTCCATCTACCCCACTCAACCAATAAACCAACCAACCAACCAATCAATAAACCAAATACCAACAAACAAAAATCCAACAAAAATCTACAAAAATACAAATCTAATAATACCCAAATACAATTAAATGAATTGACTAAAATGGAATAATAACTGAACGACATGCACATCCCTATTGATATTCAGAAGCTAAAAAGGCCAGCAAACAAGCAAACAAGAGTCTGACAGGTGAATCACTTCGTAATTATCTTCGTGTTATGATTTTCTTTTTAGTCTTACCTCATACGTATATATGTGATTAAGGTTCCCTAAGAAGATATTGACGGTGCAGGCAGAAAGCTTTTTAAAACCCGATTTATAAAAGGAATCTTAGATATGTTTTTTTTTGTTTTCCAAAACTGATTGAAAATGATGCCGGAAAAAGTTTCTGTTAACTTTCCAGAGTGGACGTGATGATTGACAAGCCCCATAAAGCTCTCACTGTATAAGAATATGGACATCCGTTGCCCAAAAACCGGACTGGGTACTTTGCCAAGGGGCTTACTGTCTTACAATAATACTTACATACATACACGATTATTTTACACGATTTGAAAGTAAATTAGAATACAGGGGGTCTGTTTGTCAGTCATTATCTGTGAAGTTATATGTGATAGACGCTATGTAGTAAATAATATAATTTTACGCCATACTTATTTGCGGACCATGCAGGTGAGAGCGATGGTCGAACCCCAATGAAGGGCTCCCAAACCCAAGCGCAAGCGTCGTCACAGCGGCAGCCAGTCAGCGAGGGAACCAAGTCCGAGTCAGATGGCAACCATGTGCCGCAATCGTCCTCGACATCAGCACCAGCTGAAACAGGTCACAAAAAAGAAAAGTCCGTGCTACAGGCCAAGCTGACGAAACTAGCAATACAAATCGGCTACGCTGGCTCAACCATTGCCGTGCTGACGGTTATTATATTGATAATTCAGTTTTGTATTAAAACGTTTGTGATTGACGAAAAGCCCTGGAAGAACACCTATGCCAACAACCTGGTGAAGCATTTGATTATTGGTGTCACAGTATTAGTAGTGGCGGTGCCCGAGGGACTCCCCCTGGCTGTAACCCTGTCTCTGGCTTACTCGGTCAAGGTTAGTTGGTCTCTCCCATCTAGACTATTTGGATGCTATTTTCTCGTTTATCCAATAGAAAATGATGAAGGACAACAATCTGGTTCGTCACTTGGATGCTTGCGAAACTATGGGCAATGCCACTGCCATTTGTTCCGATAAGACTGGGACACTTACAACCAATCGCATGACCGTGGTGCAATCCTATATCTGTGAGAAACTATGCAAGGTCTTGCCCACTCTTAGCGATATACCACAGCATGTGGGAAATTTGATTACAATGGGGATATCAGTGAATTCGGCATATACTTCAAATATTATGGTAATTATTTAACTAGTATCTAGTACATATATCAATCCTTACTAATGATTTGCTGTAAACGATCTAATGTAAATTTCAAATTATGTGTGGGAAAAAAGGGCGGACAAAACCCCGGAGACCTACCAATTCAGGTCGGAAACAAAACCGAGTGTTCTCTCTTGGGCTTTGTCCAGGCATTGGGAGTTAAGTATCAGTCTATTCGAGATGAAATACCAGAGGATAAATTCACTCGCGTCTATACATTCAATTCGGTACGCAAGAGCATGGGAACGGTGATACCCAGACCGAATGGTGGATACCGGTTGTACACGAAAGGAGCCTCAGAGATTATCATGAAAAAGTTGGTAAAATCAGGCTAAATATGTCAGTCTGCTATAATGAGTTGTGTCTACAGATGCGCTTTCATTTACGGCCACGAGGGCACCTTGGAGAAGTTTACAAGGGACATGCAGGAGCGATTAATACGCGAAGTCATCGAGCCGATGGCATGCGATGGTCTGCGCACCATATCGGTTGCGTATCGTGACTTTGTGCCTGGGAAAGCAGCTTTAAACGAAGTCCACATTGATGGCGAGCCAAACTGGGACGATGAGGAAAACATTATGTCAAATCTTACCTGCCTTTGCGTCGTTGGCATTGAGGATCCAGTGCGTCCCGAAGTTCCGGATGCTATACGCAAGTGCCAGCGTGCTGGCATTACAGTTCGTATGGTCACTGGAGACAATATCAACACAGCTCGTTCTATTGCCAGCAAGTGCGGCATCTTGCGTCCCAATGATGACTTTCTTATTCTGGAAGGCAAAGAGTTCAACCGTCGAATTCGGGATACCAATGGCGATGTGAGTGTTGCCGTCTACGAATTTTCCTCTGAATTAAACATGTAATTGGTTCATTCGCACAGATTCAACAACATCTTATTGACAAAGTGTGGCCTAAACTGCGTGTTCTGGCCCGCTCATCTCCCACTGACAAGTATACATTGGTTAAAGGTACGTATTAAAGATGAATCAAAGTCAAAACTGAATGGCAATTGTAGCTTACAGTAGATATACGCACGAGTGGATACGAGCATACTGGTTTATCACTGAAATAACCAGGGATGGTAATCATTATAAGCGGTATACAAAAAATTATACGATAATGATTACCTGTGAAGTTATATCGAAATATTCACAATATAATGATTAATTTTCAGTTATATTTTACAACTCACTCAATCTGCAGGGGCAGATTGCACAACTTTGGCCAATTGGAACAAATTCGGATATTGGTACTTCTTTTGTTCCCAATATTGCATTATATTTGTATTTAATTCGATCGGTTTTGGGCTATTATTGTCTATTTCTCAATACGCTAGTTGCAAATTTTTGTCATTACTATCATGTTCCACTTCATCATCTGAAGCAACCTCAATAGAATTGAGAAAGTCGTTCAGGAGAGAGCAGGTACTTGTTTCCTGTAAGTATTCTCTAGTCTCTGTCTGAGAAGGCTGCGAGTTCCCAGGGATTGGGGTTGGTACGTCTTCAATCTAAAGCAATTGATACCTTTTTGAACCTGGAATTTAAGCATTATAAACCCAAAAACACATTATCACATTTGCATTACATCTTCTTTCGTATCAAAGCTTGACTTTATTGGCCCATTCCAGGCGACCCATTCATGAAAAAAAGAGCTAGATGGAATGAACAATTAAATTCATTTCTACTTGTTTATAATGCGTAACTTTCGCTTTCAAAATAGATAGTATGTACGAACACACAAGATAATCATAGCCAAGAGCAGCCACACGCATAAGAGGAATACAATCTCTTATCTTTAAGCGCAGCCTTTACGAAAACATTCATTGCTTATGTTGTTGATGAACTCATTTGAAGAATATAACTGCCCACCTTTCTTTGGAGCAGAAGCTGCTTTATGCAAAATTCAATATTAAATGTACATACATATATATAAATAAATTGCACTAGGAAATATTTGTACTTACAAATTTTTTTTTTTATTATGGCTGCTCTTGTCTTACTGATGAAGAATAAATATAACTTTTCCATTTCCTACGTAAGATGGAGTCACAATTTAAAGTTGAGTTTTATTTTTGAGTAAAAAATAAAACTCAACGACTAATTATTATTCTTGAGTTTTTTTTTTGCTCAAAACATAATCATTTTTCATTGAGTAGTAAAATATAACTCAAAAAGTTTTCATTATATTGTCAGTATTTCGATATTACTTGAACACACTTAAATCATGGTGGATATGCATAGAATATCCTTTAAGATGAATATTGGCACATGTCCGCCAGCCTCAAAGTTTCCGCAAGTGAATGATTTTTTTGTTTTAAAAAGAACAAATAATCAGTATTTGCAGTCCCTGGAAATAACTTCTAATTATCAACTTTACCATAGGTATCATTGACAGCGCAGTAAGCGAGAATCGTGAAGTGGTTGCTGTGACAGGCGATGGAACTAATGACGGTCCAGCTCTAAAAAAGGCCGATGTGGGCTTTGCCATGGGTATCGCTGGAACAGACGTGGCAAAGGAAGCTTCTGATATTATTCTAACCGACGACAACTTCAGCAGTATTGTCAAGGCTGTGATGTGGGGTCGGAATGTGTATGACTCCATAGCGAAGTTCTTGCAGTTTCAGTTGACAGTCAATGTGGTCGCTGTAATTGTTGCATTTATTGGTGCGTGCGCTGTTCAAGACTCCCCGCTGAAAGTATGTATTTTTAAAGCAATGCCTAGGCAATAATTAAAACTCAACTGAACTCCATCCGATCTTTCATTCCAGGCAGTGCAAATGTTGTGGGTTAACCTCATAATGGATACATTAGCATCGCTTGCCTTGGCCACTGAGCTTCCGACACCAGATCTACTGCTTCGTAAGCCATATGGTCGCACAAAACCCTTAATTTCCCGCACAATGATGAAAAACATTTTGGGCCAGGCACTTTATCAGTTGTTTATAATATTTTCGTTACTATTTGTTGGTGAGTTATATTCCACATACATATCTAAATGTAGAGATCATTGCCTAATTTGTTTGACTAATGGTGTTGCAGGCGATTTGATACTCGATATTGAATCCGGTCGCGGGCAAGAGCTTAACGCAGGTCCAACACAGCACTTTACCATAATTTTCAATACGTTTGTCATGATGACCCTGTTTAATGAAATAAATGCCAGGAAAATCCATGGGCAGCGCAACGTCATTGAGGGACTTTTGACGAATCCAATATTCTACACAATTTGGATATTCACCATGATATCGCAGGTATGTCGTACATCTAATTGTTGGAAATTCATTTACGAAATCTTTATTATCGTTAACCTAAAACTGTTCAATGTAAGGTTCTAATCATTCAATATGGAAAAATGGCTTTCTCAACAAAAGCTTTATCGCTAGACCAATGGCTGTGGTGTGTATTTTTTGGAATCGGTACATTAGTGTGGGGACAACTGATAACATCTGTGCCTACGAGAAAATTGCCCAAAATACTATCGTGAGTAAATGTTTTTTGTTATAGCGCTTATAAGATCAAAACACGCTTTTAAATGAGCATTGGGTAAAAAAGTCAGATCAAAATATGTACACAGCCAAGAAAAACTCAGAAAAATAATTACGAAAACGAACGAATCAAGTAAATGACTTAAGTACACATACATACAGTGCTAATCTCAAAATCAGTCAACATCAAAACCTATGTACGAAATTAATTATCAAAATCACAATAGACTGTATGGGTAGACTTTCACAGTGTTTGGTAACAATAGTTATTTTTTATCTGTCACTCGAAATATATGTACATTTTTGAAGGTTGGACTGATGCTTTGCCCCGGCCCAGCCCCAGCTAAAACTATATCAGAATATGTATTCTAAATTGAATTTATTTTTTCGTTCCTGATCGCATTAAAATCGTTAACATATTAGCTCTTTAAGGCATATCATGTATATTTATGTATTATGCTTCAGTATTTTAGATTGTACACAATAAAAGTATTCAAAAATCGTCGCTTCAATTCATAATTTTGAATTTAGTAGTTGAGTTAAATTAGTATTGTAAGTAATTTTCCTTCCATTAGCTCGATTACCATTGGCTTGATACTAAGCTGATAACAATTATGTATGATTTAGTTAATTTTCCAAAATAATATATAATTACAAAGATGTAAGTATGCTAAATAATTAGAAAACTACGAAATTATGAACAATATGGTGGTTTAATGGAAGTCGATTATATGAAGATTTTTACTTGTTTATAATTCGTGTATGTATGCGTGTACTTTAAATATTAGATTTGTATTAGTCTCCTACCCGTATATACATATGTACTATGTAAATTATTTTTGCAGATTGTATTGAATTATTTCTGTTTTCAAACATTATCATTATCCATTACATCTGCTAAGGCAAAAACTTGTGGATAATTTGAAAAATTTCGAGCACCGGGTATAACAAGCATCTATAAAAACATGAACTTTTTTGATCCAGAAGACATCCCTACACTCCTTGAAAATGTTTACTAAAAGCTGAACATAGAATCGATGTTCACAGTAAAATAAAAAAAAACGTTGCAATCTATGACGCCAACACGTTCTGTTAGCTCTCCCCCCTCCTTTAGGGCCGCACACTACACGAAGCAGAGTGTGGAATGAGAGAATGTTCTATCTCTATTGCGGTGGCTGAATGGGGCGGAGCTAATTATACCCGGTACTCGAAGAATAAATAGGGTATATTGTATTTGTGCACAAAGTATGTAACGCACAGAAGGAAACGTTTCCGACCGCATAAAGTATATATATTCTTGATCATCATCAATAGCCGAGTCGATTGAGCCTTGTCTGTCTGTCCGTCCGTCCGGCCGTCTTGTTGAGCGCCTGGATTTCAGAGACCATAAAAGCTAGAGCCACAAAATTTTGCATCGAGACTCAGCAAAAGTGCGAAAACCTCCCAAACCTAAAATTTTGAAGATAAAAGAAAACGAACTAAACTAAACTAAACTACTAACTAAAACATTCCGTAGGGAATGACCATAGATATCAGATCACCAAATTGGGCTCCAATTGAATCACAATGAAAAAATTACTTTGCAGTGCATTTGCAGTAAATTCCCGCAGCTTATATATGTTTTTTGCACATTCCTTCATTCACACTCTGCTTCGCGCAGTGAGCGGCCTCTGCCCCTGCCGTTCCGCTGCCTCTGCCGTGGCTTAACCCATCCCGTCCCACAGCTTATATTTGTTTTTTCACAGTCTCTCATTCACACTCTGTTTCTGCAGCGAGTCAGCAGTGTGTGGTTCTAGGGAAGAGGAGCGAGCTAAAGTGTTGGTGTGAAAAGTGTTGTAGATGTAGACGACAGAGGAAGAACAAATTTTAAATTTGACAAAACACCACTAAGGTGCAGATGTAGTACTGAGTGCCAGGTATAAAAGTTATGACGCGTCAGAAGCGTCTCACACGTCCCTTCCCGTTTTTAATATTTTTAAGTGACCGTAGAAGAAATAAATGATACGCTTTAAAAATAAGAGTACAAATAAATTCTATCTTTACCATGAGTATTCAAAATGTGGAACCAGCTGTACAAGAGTGAAATTGGTTTTAAGTCGAACTATGATTTAATATTTCCTAAACTTATTATTGACTTTCTACTAATATTAGAGCTTTCTAGTACGTAGTCTAATGTATTTTATTTAGGAATTCTTTATTATTAATAATTCAACGTTAGCTCTTTCTAAAAGCCCGTTAGAAACAATTGCAGGTCATAGTACACATCAGCAAATTTCGTGTTAAATTGCTTAAAGGCTGTTTGCGTTTGACAGCGTTCATGCAGAAATGCAATTACGGTTATGCCTCGTTAACCATAACAGTTATCATATAAAGATATGTACCTCTATATATTTCCAATAAAGCTGGAATCTTCTTGTCGCCTACAACAATTCGATTTCTGTTCTGAGGTTAAGGGAGCGGCCGGCCTTTCTCTATAGTATGATTTGGGCTTGGGAATTAGTCTTCGCAAAACTGCACAACCTTCACACTGACGACCGTCTTTACCAAATTAGAAGAAGCTTCAACAGAGCGACAGCTATTTCCGGGCGTTGTGTTTAGGCTGTCGGGATCTCCGATTGAAATAAACTTCCTATGGGTTCTAAACGTCTTCGTCTAAACTTAAATTCCAGCTGAAACATAGTACAGATCCTTCCATATCATTGTTGTGTTCAATAATATTGCTTTTATTGATTTTGTAACAGCACTGTATAATGTTATAAAGAATCTAGGAATGTAGGAATGCATCTACTTAACAACACATAAATAGTATTAAGGTTGGCCTTGGCTGTGTGGATGTATCTTTTGGTACCCATTGATGTATTAAATGCACTCAATAAAGTGGATGATTTTTTTTAGGTGGGGTCGCGGCCATCCCGAGGAGTACACAGATGCCATGAATTTGGGTGAGGAACGATTCGACTCAATTGATTCCGATAAGAAGCCGAGAGCTGGACAAATTCTATGGATTCGTGGGCTAACTCGCTTGCAGACTCAAGTAAGTATCCCTTTCCGATTTTCCATTTATGTTTGTGTCGAGAAGTTAAAGTTTACTCTTCGATAAAACTTGTGTAGACATATTTTAATTTTTTAATTTAAATTTTTGTTTTTATAATTTATTCCCGGTCTTTTCGTTCAATCGACAAACATATATTTACATTTAAACGGATATTTTATGCGCCATTATTCATATAATCTACTCATTTGTTACACAGATACTTAGGTATAATTTATTTTCGATTTTGTTTGACGCTGACAAATCAAATACGTACTTCATATGTCTTTGACTTTAGTTTTAAGGTTGGTTTTTTAAATACATAAGCTTTAGTCGCATTTCGAATACTGCGACTGTTTTCGGTTTTTAGTATATTGAAATTCAACGGATAATACCGATAATACTATCAGTATCAATGAAAAAAAAGGCAAATAGTCGACTTGTATTTTGCATGCACCAGACCAAATATACCACTTGTGCTCGTGTTATGTCAAACTCTTGATTGAATTATTGAGTTGATTTTTTTCATACATTGGTATACAAGATTTGTATGTACATACGTTACTACATATCTTCTTCCATTATAATTTTTATTTTCCTTTATTTTTGTGCTCATACGTACATATATACATATGTACGTACATTTGTTCTGTCAGTAGGTACATTTCTTACTGGTCAGCATAGACATGATAGGATTTGGGCCAATGCAGATGAGACAGAATGGGACATATGCATACACATACATATATATATAAAAATAGCTGACATCAAGGCATGGAAGTTTTTTTTTTTAAATAGTAAAGCATTCATACGTATCTATTTGTGTGTGTACTTCCATCGGTGTATTTTTAAAGATTTTCCGATTCGGCATGCCGAATAATTGATTTTCCTTGATTAACTTATTTGAGCTTTAAGACAATTGATAGTATATGTATATTGCGAATGAAGTCTCAAATTATATCAATCGTAGGATTCGAAGGGTCATTTTCGGGACGGGTAGGCCTTGTAGTATGTTTTTGCAATTTTGTTGCTTTTGACTACTATACTCTTTCCAATCCTTTGTAGTTCGATTTATGTATAGCTTATAGCTTGCAGTAGAACAAATTGATCACTAGCCACTGCATCTAAAGACCTTTCTCTTGATCTCTCTCCCTCTTGCTCTACCACCCCTTTTTTATTTTGTTCTATTTACCATTCTGAATCTCTGAATCTACGTCTGATTCGTTTCTGTCTGTATCTTGTAAATTGTAATGGATCATGTCCGAATCTATACTTTAGCATTTGTATTTTATAGTTTTTAAGCCACCACTCATTAAACCTTTTGAACATCTACATACCTGTTATAAAATACAATTGCCGCAGATCCCAAAGAAGAAATACATATTAAAACCATAAAAGTTTCTCTCCGTGCGTGAATATGGAAAATTACATTATATGTATGTATTTATGTATGTATGTATGTAGTCTGACAATCATGACCTTTTGCTGTTTATACATAACTCTTCAAACTTACTCACCATTCTGCTCAATTCAAGCAAATTCATCCCTATCAGGAATAATTCATTATTTACTAGGTGCTTAGATTGTGTGATTGGAGAATTAATACACGTACAAACGTATCCTTTCTGACACCACTGAAAATACTCTTACACCATTAGGAAGTCTTTGCTAGTTAAAGATTCTCTCTGCTCGGATTTAATTAATTTATTTATTAACTTTTTTTTTTAACTTCGATGACTTTTTATCCAACTTTTCATATTTTGTATTATTTTATTCATATTTGATATATAATTCGGTTATACATATGTGTGTATCTTCAGTTTATAGTTTAGTCCTTTATAAAAACTTTCTTTGCCCGCCAAATATATTTCATTTGAATTATTTTTAGATGCATGTTTAAACATTTCTCTGTATCCTTTTTGCATATTCTACTATATACACAATGTACAGCTCCACAGTCTTACCATATATAAACAAATAAATGCCCATGTTTTCGGTGCTACCGAAACTAAAAATGTATACTCTTTCCTTAATCCTTCCGTATGGTATTTAAACAAACTTTATAAAGCAGCGTTCCCAAGTTCATATATGCGAGGAATCTTTTAGGCATCCTATTTTCTGTATATGGAGATGCTTGTACATATGTATGTATGTATGTATAAATTTAGGCACAAGCCATGGTGCTGAGCGTTAAATTCTCAAACGTCAGGTGTTCAAATGCTAGTAATGATAATTACACATGTCCAGCAGCCTGTTTAGGATTTTCGGACTCAACAACCGATCAGATAAATGAAATAAGATTGCCAAGTACCCAAAAAAAGAGGAAATTTAATAATTGTCTGCAAAAGACAGATCTTAAATAAAGTTGAAACACGGCTCAAAAAAAAAAAAATTATAAATTTAAATGCATACATATGTACATAGTAGAGACTCGATTCGGGTTTCGCTTTGTCCTGTCAATTAGATTCGACGTTTCAGCTTTTTCATAGCATCCCGAAACGGACTGCACGAAGCAGGTATCGTAACGTCGTATGTCTTTTTTTCTTGCTCAAATTCCGACAACACACAAATCTGAAAAATGTATCTTCTGCCTGCTAATCTTTGGTTGGATATGTGCATAAAAATGGTAAATTGCATTATGAAGCTTTATGAAACTACCCAAAAAGAAATAGAATGCTTTGGCCAAAGTAGCACTCTGCAACAAATAGGAACTTTTTTAATGTACTTTGCCCAAGACAAAAATTATGTTATTGGCCTCGAGGAGTAGATATCTTCCTCATACTTAGAATTTGCAATACACCCAAAATTCTTTTTTTTAACAAAATCTGCATCTCTGTTTTTCACAGGATTTTTGATTCGTGGTGATAGAATGAAGAATGATGAATTTTGCGAATCAGAGCTTTCTACCAACTTCTTCTTCTACTTTCTTCTTCAATTTTAAAAACGTTTTAAAATAATATTTTGTTTGGGATGGTCATATTTTCAGAAGTGAACTCAATAGTGGTACAGTACACCAACGAGTAGGAACGTTTTTGAGACGCTTCGAACGCGTCACAACTTTTATACCAGGTACTCAGTCATGAATATGAGGCATAGGAAAATATATTTGTACATTATGGGGTCGGAAACGATTTCTTCTGTGCGTTACATACATCTACTTTTCACCACAAATACAATATACCCTATTTACTCTTTGAGTACCGGGTATATTTAGCCATTTATCATTTAAATTGTTCAAACAATGCCAAAGATATTTTAACCCATTTTTATTGAACCAAAATTGCCTTTTTTCACATTTTGGAATTTTAGATCAAGTAAATAAATAATTTTGATGTATTATACAATAAGGTTGTAAAACTAAAAAACGTGTACCTTTGGCTCATTTTTTGAGGTTATCCGCACTGCAGATTTTGTGTACAAATTATAAAAGTGCAACCAGTCAAACTGCAAACCGCAGCACTAGTGTGATAGACAAATATTCGTCAAACATGTTTTCAATTTTAAAACATCAGTTCTTATGTATGTTATCTTATCTTCTCTTCTTATGTACACATGTACATACTTATGAATTTATGTATGTACGATAGAACTGTGTATGTAAATAATACCACTACAAAAATTTAACGTTATATTTAGTGTTAAAAAAAGCGAAGTTTTCTGATTTGAGGTGGTTTTTAACATTTTTAAAAACCGCTATTTTTGCTTCTAAGCGAAAATGGTTTTGAATAGTGTTAGTGTGTGTGGGGTCTATGGGATACTGCAACGCTCGAAGCTTTTTTGTGGACATGTAAAAGAGTATACTAAAATATAACAGAGGCACCCTGCGTAACAATTAACCATATCTTCAATCCTATGCAAAAAAATTTAAAAATATATAAATTGATAATATTCATTTCACATTTTTCGTCCTTTTAAAATGCTAAAATCCAATCCTGAATGTTTGATTGAACAAATAACAAAATTGCAATATATAAAACAAATGTATCCCTACCAAACAAAAAAATATTATATAAAATATCAAATAATAATAACGATTAACTCTAACAAAAACTAAAAAATCAAATAATGACCTGACGTCTGATCTGTGAAATACATATATACATCTTAAACATAATTGATAAACCAAACCGTCAAACCCGTGCATCATATTTGAATTCTCGCGCAAACTCAACCAATGACCAGATTTCAGTACCGGTAAGAATTGTCTATATGATTTAATGTATTGGCAACTAGACAGTGTTCTTTTGTATAACAATGTCCCATCCTGCTCCCTTTTAAGTTCATTTTCAAATTCCATTAAATTACACACAGCACACCCAGACATCGACGTTTCGTTTATTGCGTTTATTCGCGTTTACTTAATATAGTATAATACATAATTAAATATATATATATATATATATCTTTGTCTGCCTCTTTCACTATGCTATCGATTAGAGTCTCTATAATAAAAAAACCTTTATGTATTTATAAAGAACCTACATAAGTGAAACAATGATTTTTGTGTGTGTTGTTAGACTTGTTCTTATGCTTTGGCTAGTGTAACTACATAGCTACTACAATTATTTGTAGCTTCTCGAATACCCAATACTTAATCGCTTTACATGTCTGCAAAACACTTTTTTTCAATCGTAGCCTTTTTTATAATTTTGAGTGAGTGGGTTTGCTTGTTTTAAAAGCACCTCTTGATACTATCATATCTAATTCAAAATAAAATATCACTGCTATTTACTATGGACTGTCTCTGTAAAGCCTTTATTATATTCAAACATAAATACACTTGGACAGTGGATATTTTACGTGCAGCCTACATATACATGTACATATACAATGTATGCACACATACATACATGACCAAATGCATAACAACAGGGTATTCGAAAGATTCAACCCAAAATGACAATGCTTTTATTGTCTTTTATACAAGTAAAACAATCAAGCACAAAAAATCATGTAAATATAAACATATTGTAATTATTGTTACGGTGGGCAGGCTTCTTGGATTCGGGAGGAGCATCAATATAAATAATACTTATTTAGGGTTGTTTAAAATATACTCATATATGTATGTACATAGGTACATACAATTGTGCGTATGCATCTAATTTGTTTGTACCTAATTTCATCCATATAAAAAATATCGAGCTCGAATATCTAGGTTTCTGACATAAATATCTCTAAATTAATGAGTACGAAAACATTCGATAGAGATAAGGTGTATTTAAAGTTTTCTTACGGTCATTCCGACATTGATCTCGGCTGTTAACACTTTATACCCTTGTAGTGAGATTGAATTACAAAGTAAAGTACACGAGAAAAGAACTAGTTTACGAGTACGTATGACCATATGTGCATATGTATGTATGTGGGCAGTATCTGCAGAGGCATTCAGATCTTTTGTCTGGCCCTGTGCCATTCTGTTTCTTTCGAAAATATTTTAGGGCCGGGACTAATGAATGTGGTTAGGGAAACTAAAACAAACGTACGCAAACTTACATATGCAACTGTTGCTTATGTGTGTTTTATCCATAGATCATCGATATGCGGGCCTCCCAGGGTATCGAAAATTTTGGATCCCAAAGCTGACCTACTCTTTTCGCATATAAAAGTTACTATATTTATTCGTTTCGGATTTTCTTGAAACTGTGACTGCAGACAATTTTTTGTTATTTGTTTTAATCCTACTGAAATAGAGACACACACATACAAAAAAGGATATATTCGTACATATATATTGAAGCATCATTTGAATTTAATTTACAATTTTTACTTTAACATTTTTATTTGTATTACAACTATTGATTGACTGCTTTCAATTTGAAATTATTTTTTTCTAAAGTAATTATGAGATATATGTTGTTAATTTTTGTAATTTTAAAGCCGGCGGAACCAATTCGAGAGACTGAAGTGTAATTGACAATTGCAATAAAATCAGCAACCGTTCTACATAAATGTTACATAAATTCTAAACTAACCCACAGTTATACTCGCACTCGACCCAATCGTACACTCGAATTTACACAGGTGCACTGAAATGTACCAGATTAAGAATTATGTTGATAACAAATGGAAAAGTTCTAAAAGACCTATATAAAAAGACAAAAAACACCGAAAAAAAAACCGAATAATGTTATTTTTAAAAATGTAACTAAATGGTATTTAGTGTGCACATGGAGAACATATAAAATGAGGAATTAGCCGGTACCCCTCTCCTATTGATCAAATCCAGAAATGAATCAAAAACCTATGTACTCGTAGCTTTATACTTAATTAGCTAGGACTTGCAGGAAGTAAAAACCATTTTTTTCTGGGCCTTAGAGAAATATTTATTAATCAAAAACCTAAGTCAAAAGGAAAAAAAAGATACATATACCTTTGTATATATGTATTTATGTATGAATCCATTAACACTGAGAAAAAAATGCATCAATAACCAAAACCAAAAATCACTCCAGTTACTTATTATATGTTAACATACAAACATTTCTCCTTCACAATTATGTCATGAGATGGTAACAACGCGTGGTATACGATTCTTTAGTGTATAAAGGCCAAACTTTAATAAATAGGATCTGAATATATTTACAAAAAAACCAAAACTATGGGCACCACAATGAAACCACAGAATACAAAAACAAAAAATGCAGCTTCCATCAAGAACTACTACTACTAATGGTACTACTACTACTATTACTACAATTCTACCACTAAAAACAACATCAACAGCAACCACTACAACAACGTATAAGGTCTTCTGCTACGCTCCACATTATGTATGTTACGTACTCTTTCTCTTACTCTGATATCTACTGTACTATCTTCTACTACTAAAACTACCTTCAACACAAAAACGCTAGTCCAGCTCTCTATTTCCTGCAAACGTACGTAACTGATTTTATTATTCTATATAAGAACGAACCATTGTGCACGTCGAAAAAAATAAATAGTAATAAAATCGTCTCCTTAAATAGTTAACTTATTCAGCCTCGTTTCGTCCCTCCCTATTTTGCATCAGCCCACCCGTCCGACTGCACAGTCTTAAACTAAATATAAATTATCGTAATTGAAAGCAGTGGACCTTCTCTCCACTGTTTCCGAGGAGCTATTTTACCAAATTACTAATTTATGTATAATCTACAAAGCGATGAGTTAATAAATCCACCTGGGGGTATAAGAGTTATTATGTACATTTATTTAAAGTATCTTTGTGTTCTTTACCTCTCTGTGCGTTAGGTATAGTATAATCACAATTACATACATACATACATATGTATGTACAATAATGGACACTCCCAGTTAATAGAGTTGGATGAATGTTGTATGTCAAACTACCGATAATGAGGTCACATATTTGAATTATCTTTATTTGATTAGTATCAACCGACACAGCTATCTTCTCAGATCAGTTGTCACCAATGTTGTTAATGTACACACATACATATGTATATATGTCGACTTTCTTCTACATATGGATTTAAATACAATAGTCTTTAGATAATTTGTTATTTTTAAAATCAATATTCCAGGTAAGTAGTCAAAGACATAGTTTAAGGTACCGTATTCGTATTTGCAGGTTGGTGAATTTCTCTCATTCGATGGAATATATGAATAGTTATTTCATTCGGCTGTATATACTATTAGCTTTTAAATTGTAATACGTTTAAGTATTACACATTTTAATCATTCTTAATTACTCAATTTATAATCATATGCTTTCAACTTTGAATAGACACAAATATTTTGAAAGTATCTACATAGGTATATGCGAAACGTATAGTTATGTATTCCGATTAATTGAACACGAAATATCTTTACTAAGCTGTTCGCGTAATATCTTAACATTTTGCAACTATACAACTGTTTCGACAGTCCGAACCTAGAGTTGTTGTTATGTTACTTTTCCCCACCCACTAAACCAATTTTGGGAGGAAAGATTAAATAGATATTACACTAATCGGAGATTAACTAAATGCTGATTTAAACATTTATCTAGTAAAAATTCAACTATAAATATTTAAAGTAAATATACATATATGTATATATTATATATGTACATAGTATGATTGGAAAAGTCACAGGAAAATTTTACACTTCGTCCACATCTTCCAAAGTTGTCCAATTCCTAATGTCCGTGTCCAATGTACGTACAGAAAAATCCCGCACCCGCATGACGCTTCAGATCTGCACGTACGTTAATTTTAAACCCGTGTTACAGCTTTTTTGGCAATGAAACACTTTGCAGCGACTTAATTACTTTACAATTTGTCGACTTTGATCTGATTTTAGTTAAGAGCTTTACGTTAAGTCTTTATTTTATTTCGATTTTTATTTTGATTTTATTTTTGATTCCGTTTAATTCTTGTGCTTAATTGATGTTTTTATGTATATTTATATATGTACGTACTAAAGTGTATATGGACTTACGTATTTACTGCATTGCTATTTTGTTGGTAGTTTCTTTACGTTTCTGTTTCTGTTCGTTTGTTGTCTAATTTCATTTGTTTCAGTTGCGCGTGATTCGTGCTTTCCGATCGACCTTGGAAGACCTAAACGAACGCCGATCGATGCACAGCTTGCATAGCTTACGCAGTCCCCGGACAGGCATGCCATTGGGCGTTGGCCATCCATTGTACAATTTCAATCTGCTGAGCCCAAATTACAACAAGCACCAGCATCAGCAGCAGCAACAACCACCTCCGCAGCAGCAACATAATCAGTCAAGCGCCCCGCTGCCGTTGGACATATCTTACATTGACGAAGATCCGCAGCAGCAGCGCACTTTGCACAATGGACGTACTACATCCGTTAACATATCCGGGTCGGCCTCCACCACACAATCTAAGCGTGTCCCTGGCCTATCCCCAGGTTTCTCCGAAATAGCACACACTTTGCAGCAGCAAGTCCGCAGTAATCAAAATGAAACGCACCACTCAAACGGACAGAATGAGACACGAATTTAATTATCTAACTTGTTTCAGAGGCTGACAGTCAAACAATTCGCAAGCATTTAAAATTGAAATGTAATTGGTATCGTCAAAAATATTTTCGAACCAAATCCAAAATCAGACTGACCTGACACACTCTGAACCTGAACCCCAACAGTGTTTCAATAGTCTAAAAATGCTCGCTCTAATCTGTATTAGATTATTTCTTAAATACTTTGTTTTTCGTGCATTTTCCGATACCCAATATCCAAATTAACTTGGGGATTACATATGTACCAAATATTCCAAATTCGACTTTATATTTTTGGATCTTTGGTTCTCTGGTCCAGTCTATGCTGGTCTAAGCTTACAAAAATCAAAGGCACATCTACAGATGTTTGTCGTTGGAGGATTTGAAGTAAACGAAACAAGATATTAAAGCATTGAAACAACCGTTTCAGCCAAAAATAAAAATTATTAGCTTACAGGTAGTTTAGTGCATGAAGAATGCAAAAGAAAATACATACCTACATATGTCTAATAGGAACACTTAATTCACGTTTAGACTCGCTTGCTATACCCAGCCACACGCGCTTTGCTCATCAAATCCTTGAGAGTCCCCGAGTCTGCCGTATCCAGATAATTATTTAAAGTACTTTATACGTTTTAGAACATTTAAGCATGCTTTTTATACCATTACCTTGTTTATTTGTAAAAAAAAAAAATAATAACATTTTAGTAATTGTATTACTAACTACTGTAAATCTAACTAGATCTTGCATATATATTTTGTCTGTCTGGTTTGAGTGTTCGTATGAATGATTTATAATCTTCAAAGGCCCTCAATTGTAATTTTCTGGTAGGTACACATACTAATGCATTTGTAAGCATACGAATAAACCCGAGGATTTGTAGTGGTGGTTGCTAGACCATATATTTTGGGAACATTCTAACAGAATGTAACACATTATTTCAATCTGTCTAGGGCTATACTGAAAGCATCGAAAAGCTTTGTTGCCCCAGAAATTTGAAATCGAAGGATTTTGTATCGTTCATTTAATCATCTTTCCTTTACCGCTTACAATCATTCATAGCAAATCGGATAAGTTCACCCATTAAACTGCATAAGTGTGTGAAAATCAATAACAATAATTTAACCTGAAATTCCTAACTTATTAGGAAAGCTAGTCTGTATGTACATATGTACGTATAAGGTAATATGTACATAAATTACTATGCCAAGGCAAAGGCCATTCCTAAAATATTTAGATCAATATACTCACACCTGTACAGAAATGAGACCTGTCCTTGGCCTGAAACGCATTTGTGTCATTATTTCGTTCACACTGACTTAGTGCTATTTTTAAATGTTCAACATAAGCTTATTTAGTACCTCCCATCCATTTAAAGTTACATATGACGTATGTATGAATCATGTTCAATTCTTTATAGCAAACACTTTCTATGGCAGCAACACTTAACTGAAATTCAACCTGTCTGTATTTTTCTTACCCATTTATTGTTTTCTATTTCACTTTCTATCTTTCTTTCTCTCTCTCTCTCTCTCTCTCTTTCTCTCTTCAATATTAAAGGTGATAGGCGGAGAATTGCAAGAACGCTTGATTCCGGTCCCATATAGCAAGAGCAACACTGATCAAGCTGTAAGCCCCTTCTTAATTTTATTGACATTTTTTATTACAAAAAAACTTTAAAAGCTCAACCTCTGAAAGAAATAATAATGGATAATATACTAGTATACGCTCGTCTGCTCTTAAAACTCTAATCATGATCTACAAACCTTATTAAATTACGAAAGAGAAGACTAAATAATCTGTGTAGAATTTTCCTAAAGATTCGGCCTAGTTATCAATAAGTGTCAACTAACTTCAAGACTTATGAAAACTGTACATACATCCATACATATGTATGTATGTATACATACATACATATGTATGTATGTATACATATGTATGTATGTATACATATGTATGTATGTATACATATGTATGTATGTATACATATGTATGTATGTATGTATGCATATATATATGTAAAGCTAACCCTACATATACATATATGTATAGCTAAACATACAAATATATGTATGTATTCTTACACATACACGACTTAGAGTACCAATTCATTTTCATTTCGGTACGCAGATGAAAATTATTTATCTACATATGTTTATCAAATCGCTTGCTTTCCAAATTTTTATTTTTAAAATACTTCAAATACTATTTTTGAGCTGCTCAGCCATTGCTTGTCGGTTCGCCTCTCCTTTTTTAAAAGTATTTCTTCCTAGCACTCTTGCATACTCAATGAATTTAGATGAATAATCCTACATACCATACACATACATACATATGTTCTTGTAGTTTTTCTTGCCTGTTTTGAATAGATTAGTTGCGAATGCAATATCATACCCAGCTTTTTAAGTAGGTCGATCAAATAAGTCATCTATAAACTACTCTACTCCTAAATACCAACAAACAATATTTGAATGGTTCATCCATGGCACACACGCGCTGTGATAGAATGCCTTCGCTTTAGCTTTGTCCGTCTGATTTCTTGGGTTTTATCTACTTATGTAAGTGTGCTTCCACTATTAGCTCGCCATTTGCATAATTGATGTATGATGTATGCCAATACTATATACACATTTGAAACAAAGTGCTGTTTATTTTTGTAGTTTTTTTATGTACATAATGTATTTTTACTTGTATCATAGTATGTGCATACTATGCATATGTACGCAAACAGAGTTTTTGCATTTGCATTCGATTCTTTTAATATTTAGTCTGACTGATCGAAACTGTACTTCTTATCCTGTTGTTTTCGTCTCTCTTGTCACTGTTATTGGTGTTGTTCTTTTCTTTTTATTAATTTGTACTTAGATTCGTGTGGTGAACGCATTCCGGCAAGGTCTTGACGCCCGTTACGGTGAGCATACCAACACCTCACTGGCAGAGGTGCTGCGCAAGCAGACTTCACTAAGCAAACGACTTTCGGAAACATCTTCCATTGAGTATGCCGACAATATACCCGATGAGCTGAATATACCCGAAATCGATGTCGAGCGTTTATCATCCCACAGTCACACTGAAACAGCAGTTTAAATACCTTTTAACTTACCTTTTCATATATACATACATACCTACATACAAGTACACTTGGAAATAAACTCAATACAGTCAGATAAAAGTGTTCAATTGTTCATGTAAGCATGTATTATGTATATCATTCTCCAAAGAAAGGGAACTTATAACAAAAATCGGCTTACACGCAAAAGAAAGCATATGAATACGTACAGATAATTGTACATACATACGTATGTACATGCGTGAAGAGGAGATGAAATACATGAAATATTAAATCAGAGAGCCCTAAGATTTTTATGGCTTACACCAAATTATAAAAATATATACATCACTCGGAACTCCTACGCACATATACATGTATGTATTACCCATGCATATGTATGTCTATTCATACACTAAGTTCATACATATACATAAATGTTCCGATCAAGTCCCGTATATTCAAGCCATTAATGCTATTACTATTATTATAACACAAATTAAATAAAAGAGTCAATGATTAAAATTTCGTTTTTTTATTTGTTATGTTCAAGTACAATTGACAGTTATTATTTTTTGGGTTTGGTTTAGCGTAATTACAGATTAAGGAATCCTCGAATTTAAGAGAACTTGGTTTCAGTTCAGAATTAACTTTGTACTCAAACTGACTATGAATAGTTAAAAAGGCATGACAACACGATTCTTGGCCTCGCTTGATCTGCCCGCGAAGTCTTTTCGATGGTAAAGTGATCTGGAGGATATTTCCCGAAAGCCTTCTTTAGATTTTCTCGTGTGTCTACAAAATATGTACATAGGTCGGATGACGAGAAGACATGCCAACATATATCTCTAACCGTACACATGAGGACTTCACTTTTTTAATTCAAATCGGGTAGAGTCTGATGTGGATGTGTCCAATGTGCACCGTCGCTGTTTTTCGTCTTTTCAACCTGGCGGGCCTTCTTCAAATCACGAAGCCGCGGAAGTGTCCTTTGACAGATTTTCGGTTTGGACCGCCGCGTCGCTTTATTATGTATTTGTGTGATACGTAAAACAAGTCCAGTGCAAAACCATAACGGATTACAAATCCACATCAGCTAAGATTAACTGGTGCACTAGAATCACCTTCGCTATATAGCCCGCCGCTATATATGTCTTGTTTTGTTGCAGATGGGAGACCCTACCGTGAAATTCACCTCGGCATCGCATCTTTGGCGAAAGGCGGCATTTTAAGAGCTATTCTTCACAGGTCAACTCCTAAGTAACTGATGCCCGGAACGATCTCCCCTGCATCAGGAGATCAGAAACGCGGCGCTTATAACGTCAATAAATCCATTAATTTTTCATGAATATAGATTTGTTTGTATACAGCACTTATTGAACTAGCTGTAGACTTATGTATGAATACAATGATTGAAGGATGCCAGAAAGACTACGCAGCACTCCACATCACAAATAAAACAAAATCCGTTTTGTCAGATATGATTGGATAGGATACTGATATTGGAATGTGGACAGTGGTCAGCGTTGGCGGTTATATCAGAATTATGTTTTTTATACCCGGTACTCCAAGAGTAAGTAGGGTATATTGTATTTGTGCGAATAACGGTTGTATGTAACGCACAGAAGGAAACGTTTCCGACCCCATAAAGTATATATATTCTTCATCAACATCAATAGCCGAGTCGATTGAGCCATGTCTGTTTGTCCGTGTTGTTTGTAACTGAAACCAGTGAATTTTAAAAATTAGCCTTGTCCCCTTCCGCCCCCGCAAAAGGGTGAAAACCTCCCAAATCTACAATTTTGAAGATAAAAGAAGTCTAAAAACGCCATTCTGTAGGGTATGACCACATCTATCAGATCACCGATTGGATCATTATTATAGCCAGAATAAATAAATTAATTTGCAGTGGCTAAACCCACACCGTCCCGCAGCTTATATTTGTTTTTTTCGCATTCTCTCATTCACACTCTGATTCAGCAGTGTGGGGCATCTGCCTCTCGCGTTCTTTTGCCTCTGCCGGGACTCTGCAGCGTGTGGCTCTAGGAAAGGAGGTCGAGCTAAATGAGCGTGTTGGCGTGAGAAGTGTTGTAGATGTAGATGACAGATGAAGAAAAAATGTAAAATTTGACAAAAAAAACCGCTAAGGTACAGATGTAGTACTGGGTGCCGGGTATAAAGTTGTGACGCGTAAGAAGCGTCTCACACGTCCCTTCTCGTTTAATTTAACCTTAATAGAACTACGAATATAATTCATCATCATCATACCATTAGTTTCTAGCTTAGAAACGCAGCTTCTGGAAGAACCAGTTGATCTTTCCCTCCTTGTAGATGGACTCGAACTTGACGCGAGTCTGGAAACGGTGTGTATTGCGCTTGACGGGATCCATCAGGTCCTTTGCCGACAGTTTCTCGAAGCTGATGTCATGTGCCGTGTATAAGATGGTTGTAGTTCAAGCTCCTCAGGAAAGGCTTTATCTTGGACTTCTTCTTCAACTCGTTCTTGCCCATCTTTTTAGTCACCTTGCGGGAGTACCTGTCGATACCGGCGACCAGAGCACTACTGAAGGGTGTATCCGGGGTGCCATCGTTGGAGGTCGGAGATAGATCAAAAACCCATTCAAGATCTTTAGGGATGTCGAATAGGATCAAGAGATATGCGATACAGGTAATATGGTGTTATAAACAGATAATTTAACGAAACCAGGTGTGGTAGCTTGTGAGCCGTCGCATACAACACACGTCAGGTGGCGCCTCTGTCTCTAAAGATAAATAGTTGAATCAAAAGAACTCTCGGATTATACATGTGCTGTCGATAGGCGATAGAGAATATCAATCGTCAGCCCAGGGGATTAAAATCAGGCGATAAGCCAAATTGATTCTTTTCGGATTTCCAAGTTCGGCAATGCTAAGGTGGCGAGGGGCAATGCCTCAAATGCCGACCTATGTCCTGCGTGAGGTCCATCGAGACGAAGGAATCTGTTGGCGAGCGAGGTCCAGGCTCATTTTCTTCAGGAGTTAGAGAAAAAGCACGTGCCTGCGCTCAAGTGAGGATGTCCCTAGCATGCCGAGATATATTCTGCAGGTCTGCAACCTCTCCTATAGGAAGTACAAGATTTAGACACGGGCTCCTAAACTCCGGAGCTTTTATACGATTTTATATTACCAATTATGCAATATAGCCGCATGGTTGGTGGAGCAATTAAAGCACTGAGCTTAATGTCATCGAACTCAACGACTGTAAATTATTGCTCCATCCGATCCAACGGATGGGACGGTCCTTAAACTGAAATAAGTTGTGTTGTAGAATACCTTCCTCAAGCCACAACATTAACGTAACCTGAGCTGAAGAAAATATTGTTAAATGGGCTGCAAACGCACTAGTCACTTCTTCTCTTTTGTGGTTGATTTTCACTGCCAAGTCTGGTATATCTTTGTCGGCACTGTATGTCGGTATGTAAGCATACCTGGGGATTTAGGAAACACAGGACAAGAGGTACTTGTGAGGTGCGTCATATTGGAATTACCTCAACTTAATATAGTGAACCGCCATAGTGATTTTCTTAGATAAGCCATTCACTATTTTGACTGTTCAGATGCAAGTATCTGAATCGTAAATGATTCTTCTGATTCACCCCTTTATGGTGTTTCCATGAAGAAATGAGTGACTGGCTCCTTTTGCAGTAATATGTTAGGTGTGATTTGGGTAGCTTTAACCTCCAAATTGAGAGATACAGACGAGAGAAGCATATTTTTATGTATGTGTGTACATACATAGGCTGGCGATGAACCGTGTCTTTTCAGTCTTACATAGCTTTAAATGCTGAACGGATCCGTTTTACACACTGTACGGACGCTTCGTGCGTGTCACAACTTTTATACCCAGTACGCAGTCAAAATATATGTTAGTTTGCATGTACACTCATATGTAAATAAATTGCTATGTCTAATCGGCTATTTATGCTGATCAAGAATATAAATACTTAATAAACTAAACTCTTTAAGTACCGGGTTTAATTATAATTATCCAATATGATTATTTAGAGCCATTCGAATAAGCAGGACAGAGAAGTAGTATGTCTTTTGGTGTATATTTCAGGCATTCAAAATATTTTTCAACGCTATTTCCAAGGAGATTCAAAGATTAAAGACTGAATCTACGTCCCCAAATTCTGACGAGAGAAATATACCAAATAGTTCTACAATAAAATTCCGTATGTTGTAGTAAAAGTCCCCTTTATTGTCAAATATAAATGTGATTTATTTTATATCACGTTTTTATCGCTTTTAGATTGTCATGTCTTGAATGAAAAAACAATTATACGATTATATATTTTTTTGTATAAATCTGAAGATATGTTGCCCAAAAAATAAAATGTTTTAAAATAATTTTTAAATGACATTTTTTTCTGAGTTGTTAATCACAAAATATTGAATACTCGAAATCCTTCAAAGATTCTCTACACATTGAAGTTGTAAGAGAAATAGTGTTTAGAAGCTATGTAAAATAAACCTATTCCGATGTAATAATATATATATAAATAAAGTGTTAATATGTAATTATTTTATAAATATTACTGTGATTAATTAGTTGTCCTATAATAGTTGTGATTCACGTTTATTTACAAAATGCTTTACTCTTTTATCCGATTCTGTTGCCTTACAGTCGTGTCGCTCTCCCGAAAAGATTTTTTTTCCAATTGTACCCAGTAAGTTATCAAAACCGCTACCAGCTATTTACTGATTTTATTTGTTGTATTTTTTTCTTTGATTGGGCATTTAAACGCAACGTATGTATGTACCAAGTCGACCCATCTCCATGAAAATTAACGCCCTTAGTCATTTCCATTATTTTTTACAAGACCAACAGTAAAATAAATTTAGAGGATACTTTGGGTACATATGTAAATGATTGATATTTTTTATAATACTCTTACACTAGTTTGCTTTATAATAATTTATTATATGTGTTTAATAGTCGTTTTTGAATACTAACACTGTCATGTCAGACATACGTATGTTATTAATTTTATAAATTTTGACCTTATAATTTGTACATAATAAACTTATTTAGGTATATATATACTTATATCAAATAAAACTGATAATATATACCCCCAAGCGGTAACAATACAAATAAAGAAACTTTTTTAATCAATGATTACTATGACGAGTTCAACAATAAAAGTGTTAAGAGTAATTGCATGTTTTATAATGCCTACTGCATTGACTAACAGACAGTGGCATATTACAGTTGAGCTATGTTGTTTCATAACTCGTTAACAAAGCAGCGTCGACAGGCTCTAAGCAACTGGGACAAGTGAGACTTCTCATTAACCAGTCGTCTATGCAATTCACATGATATATATGCATGCATGGAAGATACCGAACAGCTTCATCAACACAAAATTCAGCCATACAAATAACACATTCTCGTGATTTTTTCGAGCTCCCATCATATCTTCCTATTGGCAAATGTTGCATTAAACCAATTCGTTTTGCTATTTTAACTTCGTCCTCCTCGGAAAGTTGTGAATGGCCCGACGCTATTGGGGCATGGCCAATGGAAGTGGAGGGCGTTGGATAAAAGATTTGTTGATACTGCTCATTCTGATAAATAAAAAACATTACAGGTTTTATATGTATGTACACACATATTTTCTATTCACTTACCTGAAACAATGGCAAAGGACCGCTGTTCTGCCCGTGTACACTTTCACTGCCTCGCAAAAGTGAAATATCATCAGAACTGTTAATTTTCAAGCAATTATTACCCATTCTATCCTTTGAAGTCGTATCCTTTGATATTGTAAAGAAATATCAAGTTAGTTTTATATACATACAAATATTTTTAACACATATGAATACATATGTATATGCACGTTAATTAAGAATGTGCATTCTTTTATGCATTTCACAATATTAATACACACATATGTATGCACCTTCTTTTACACTTTATTTACACTAAACTTTTTTTTTGCGTACAATAAATGCGCTTTGTCTCAAAAACTGCATTTTAGTTTTTATTATTCCTTGTGCATACATATGTGTGTACACTTATTGAAATCTGTGTATATACACTCATGAATGCACAGATAAATTTGCACGTAAATTACGATTGGAACATAAAGATTTGGACTAAATTTAGGGACGTAATATTACTTTATTAAAAATTAAACTATAAGACACTTTGTCCCAATTTTACCTATTGCTAATTATACGATTGTGTTTAGTGTGACCGCGAACTTATCAACACTCAAAACTATATCGAAATATACCTTATAGTTTTTAAAATGTACCATAAATACTAAGTTATATTCCTTGATTTAGATATTCTGATCAATATTAACAGCAAGTTAAGACTCTGAGCACGTAAACTATATTATTGTTCGTTTGAAGAATAAATTCTCTACAAGATTGACTAGTTTTTATTACTTTTGTTTATTCGATTGTTTACAAAATAAGATTCAAACTAAAAAGTCAACAAAAGAGGCTCCACCAGGCCACAGTTCCGGTTCCGAGCCGATTCCGTTCCGGGGTCTGTAGTTGAGTTGGCAAAAATACATGCATAATCTGTCTGTCTGTCTGTCTATAGTGTCTATAGCCAAAATAAAAACAAACAAAGTAATCATGGCAGAAGAGACTGTAGTTCTTCTTTTATTAGTGATAGTAATGCTCGTTGGATCCTATCTAGCTGGAAGCATACCAATGCTAATGAAATTAAGCGAGGTAGGCATAGCATAGGTATGAATGCATTGGTACATACATACATACATATGCATGAACATACATTAATTCAAAAATATTCTCTGAATGTAGGAAAAGTTGAAGTGTGTCACTGTGCTTGGCGCTGGTTTATTGGTGGGTACTGCTTTAGCTGTAATTATACCAGAAGGTATTCGTTCATTGTATATGGATAGTGAACGAACGACAGATTTGACGACTGGTCGAAAAACACAAGACTACTCACAAACTATAGGACTTTCCCTAGTACTTGGTTTTGTCTTCATGATGTTGGTTGATGTGTCCCAACGCAGGAGCAATATTGGAAATGACGAGAAAAATACAGCCACCCTCACTCTTGGTCTTGTGGTACATGCGGCAGGTACTTACTTACTTATAATGAATGATTTTTTACTTAAAATTTATATGTCTTACATGCTTGGCTGCGTAGCTGATGGAATTGCGTTAGGTGCTGCTGCAACGACGAGTCATCAGGACGTTGAAATAATAGTTTTCTTAGCTATTATGCTACACAAGGCACCTGCAGCATTTGGCTTGGTTAGCTTTTTGCTTCACGAGAAAGTCGAGCGACAACAAATTCGTAGACATTTGGCACTTTTTTCCTTATCAGCCCCTCTTTTGACTATCTTAACGTATTTCGGAATTGGTCAGGAGCAGAAGGAGACCTTGAATTCAGTGAATGCAACTGGAATAGCTATGCTATTTTCCGCCGGAACTTTTTTGTATGTTGCCACTGTGCACGTTCTCCCGGAGCTGACACAAGGTGGCCATCACCATCATAAAGGTACCACTTCCCCTCAGTTTGAGTATCGGGTATTGGAGGAATCTCGAGATGTCGGGCCTGTTGACAAGAACGGTATTGGTGCCGCGAGTAACTCTCAGGGTCATAGTATACAGGCTTTACGATATAGTGAGCTAGTAATAATGATATGTGGTGCGCTGCTACCGCTTATCATAACTTTTGGACATAAGCATTAAAATAAGCACTCGCACACGGAAACATTTCAGCATTCCTGCATCGCGCGTTAGTAAATGTATATGTTGAAGCTATGGGCTTACACGAATTTAGATACCATTTCGTGTTTGAAATTAAATCGTTTCGGGTTTGCCGATGATGAGACAGTCGCTAAAGTCGATAAATATACATGTTGATACATGCCTTTTCAAGCATTTTAAAAGTGACATTTCAGAAACATTTCAATTTGAATACACATTAGAGTTTTAATTGAACTTTAAACTACGGTAAGTCGAACCAAATCGAGGATCGCGAGATCAACGTCCATTTCAACGTAATGGTGATTTCGTAGTGATCGGTAGTATGTATTAGAGCATCAATAAAATTATACAGATTTGGACAGCTCCGAAGTACTGCATTCATCCAAAATTAATGAGTAGATATTTTAATTTTGTTTGAGTTTGGGTTGCTTTATTGTGATATTTAATTTTTAATTTAATTAATGCGAACGCGTTTTGGAATTTACAAAAACTACAAATAAGAAAATCTGAGCTTACGAATAACCAGTACTCAGTATCGTGATCAGTATTACGTATGTGTGTCTAGAGTAACCCCAGTGTTTTTATACCCGGTACTCGAAGAGTAAATAGGGTATATTGTATTTGTGCACAAAGTGGATTTATGTAACGCAGAGAAGGAAACATTTCCAACCCCGCAAAGTATATATATTCTTGATCATCATCAATACCCGAGTCGATATAGCCATGTCTGTCTGTCTGTCCGTCCGTCTTGTTGAGCGCCTGGATCTCAGAGACCATAAAAGCTAGAACCACCAAATTTTGCATCCAGACTACAGTATGCTCACAAGTGTATTGCAAAAATGAGCCCCGCCCCCTTCCGACCCCGCAAAAGGGCGAAAACCTCCCAAAGCTACAATTTTAAAGGGAAAAGAAAGCTAAAAACGCCATTCCGTAGGGAATGACCATATATATCAGATCACCAAATTGGGATCCGATTGGATTGGATTATAGCCAGAATGAAGAAATGAATAATCAGTGGCTAAACCCACCCCGTTCTCTCATTCACACTCTGCTTATGCAGTGTGCGGCCTCTGCCTCTGCCGTGACTCTGGAGTGTATGGCTCTAGGGGAGGGTGTCGAGGTAAAGGAGCGTGTTGACGCGAAAAGTGTTGTAGATGTATGTACATAGATGACAGATGAAGAAAATATGTAAAATTTGACAAAAAACACCTAAGGTACAGATATAGTACTGAGTACCAGGTATAAAAGTTGTGACGCGTAAGAAGCGTCTCACACGACCCTTCTCGTTACTAACACCCTTCGAGTAAATGATGGACGCACAGGAACATAGAATGAATATAATTGAAGGTGAATATCATTTGTGTCATCCCAGCTATAATATCCAATCCATGAAAAATTAAATTCACTTAATTTCAATTTTCGTTTTCTCTGGGATCTATGCGTCAATGAAGACGAATTAAAAACAAAATTATTAAATCATTTATAATATCGGAATATGTTTGCTTTTTGCTGTTAAAGGCATATGTATACCTTTACGAGATATTTTTACGAGTACTCTTCGAGTAGATGGATAAAAATCTAACAAACTGAGGCTGAAACTAAAAGGGTAAAAAAATGACAAAATTTGTACGGGAGCTTAGCACTTCTCGATGTTTTTATTAACCTCTAAATTTATTAGTAACGATTTCGTTTTATAGGTAGGTTTACATATAATTTATTACATTTGGCCGACTCAGTCATCAAAGCTCGATGAAAGTAAGAAATTTGCTGCTAGTTCCTCATCTTTTTCGCAGGCAAAATAAGCTTGCAGAACAAGTGCTTCTGGGAAGCCGAGTGCTTTCAGCTATGGAAATATTTAATTTAAATTATTCCAGTTGTGTACTATGAAAATATTATATACCCTTTCTATAGCGCCTTGGTCTTGGGCATTTAGACGAATTGTTGCAATACCGGCGGACTGTTCCGTGACTTCGCGATCGGCGACATCTAAAGCATTCCCGCCAGCAGATGACCGTTGGCTAGCCACTGCCCCTTCTTCAGTTCCTGAAGAGGGCAAGCTTTCTGTCCGCGTTGTAAAAGACTGTATTCGAGGAGGTGTAGACCGTTGACTGTTATCCCCAGATGCGGATTCACCCTCAATTGGCTGGTTTAGCATATTAAGAAACGCATCCTGGTTCTCCGAAATAAGTTGTAGAAGAGCTGGGTTCGTCTGACCAATCTAAATAGGAACAGTAACTTAAAATGCACATACTTTTCCTTCAAGAACTAACCTGCTGCAAAACAGCATGTAAAAGGTGAGGATTTTGATATATTAGCGAGCGCATCTGAAGAAATTGTGGCTGGCTACGCAAAAACTCAAAAGGATCTAAAATAAAAAAGAAAGCATTACGAAATTGTACGTAGCCTATTTTTTAAAATGACGTTACCAGTGGATTGAGCTGGAAGATCTACAGCTGGTTCAGTTACAGGCTGGGTTCCCGGAGCTCTTGGACTTTGGTTGTTTGTGTCGTCGCCGGCATTAAATAGACTTTCTTCCTCGTCGGGTATGCCATTAATGAGGTACTCTACTGCCCGCTCAGGGTTGTTAAAGCTGGCTCCCATTGCACGTTCTACCTGGTCGCGTGGGTAGCCCATTTCTACCATCGATAAAACAGTTTGATTGTACTCTTCTCCCATAAGTAAATTAGACTCGGCACGCGTTTGCAATGTAGCATTAGCCAGCTCTCCAACTAAATCGCTACTGGAATATGGTCTTTGAATTGCTGTTCCTGTTGACGATACGGACACAGAAGGCACAGCCTCTACAGCCCCCGAAATGGGAGTAGATCCACTTGCGCTGTTTATAATTGTTTCGATACTTTTTTCTTTACTGGGATTAAGGTCCACAACCCTTCCGTCAGTTTCGTTTGTCCGTTTTTGCTGAGGTTCAGAAGATGAAGATACTGCCATCGATGCAGCTGTATCGCGTGTTAGCATTACTACTATAAACTTTTTTTCATCAATTTTATATGACGCTATTGTACGATCGTCCATAAGGATGACTCCTGCATAGATCAGTTTTTGCTTCTCAGCAACGTACTCAACTCCGCGCTCATCAAATATTTTCTTCTTGAGTTCCAAAACCTATAAAGATGTTTTTGGAATGTGCTTATACTTTAAATTAAATGTTATTCATTAATGCATATGCACATATTATGTATGTACGCACGTGTAACGTAGGCATACACAGATATATTTACCATTCACGAAAATATACATACGGAAAAAATACCACTCACCGTTTTTTCCGAGTCAAACTCAATTGTAAAGGTTTGCTGCTGCAGGTTTTTTACGGTGATAATCATTTTTTATCTTTGATAAATTTAACGTTGATACTTGTTGGATATAAAAGCGCAGTTAAATGTACATATGCATATGTAGCTGTATTATTTTTTTTTTTCGTAGTTTGGTGGCACAAATGTGATTTGTCATCATTTAGGATTAGGGTTGTGTAAATTGATATTATCGATATTTTATGCTTTAGTAAGTGTTAGGGTATTCCTTAAACCGATTTTAAGTTAATTTGCACGACTACTTAGATATGTAAAAATGTCAAAATCAGACAGTCTCTAATTTTGAAAAATGAAAATGAAATGAAATAGAAAGTATATGCAACCAGTAAAATAATTCTAGAAGGAAATTGTCATCGGTAACCCAGCCGCTTCTTATGCTTCTCTTGCGGATCTGAAGCCCAGTGCTCAGATGCACTGAATTTTCGGTCGACCGAATCCGGTATGATTTTACTATGGAAAAGATAAAAAAACATCCCTGTTTTCTGTGCGACAGAAAATTTCGCATTTTCCAGAACTTTAATAAATGAAATTTTAAAGATAGTTTTAGTATAGGATATATAGGCACTCCAAGTTGAAAATGTTTTCAGTGTGCGAAAATTCATTGAACTCTCATTCTATTATATATTTAGTACGCTAAAATTTCATACTGTGCGAAGGGCCTGAAGCTCGACCAGTCGAGACTTCTGCCTGCTTTCAATGTCTTTACAAGCGAACATGCAAACGAACTGGTCTCGGTCAGAGAACTTTTTGTCACTTTTGTGCAAACATCTGTTCAATTATCGATATTTTGTAATAAAAACAGTCTTACACAAAACAGATTCTCTTGTAGCGGAAAATGTACTAAAGCGTTCGCTTAACAGAACTATAATCTGCAATTAGCAGGAATCAAGAAAAATCACAAAATCACATTGATCACAAGCATTTAAACCGGAAATCGAACAGTAAGTATTTTTGTTAGAGACTTTCTGAGAATAGAATTTTTTTTAACTTAGTTGAAAATGGCAATTAATCAGCAACCTAAACAGTCTTCAACTGAGTATTTCTATGGTAGATATTGTACATGTCTACAGCCTATGCGTAGCTTAAAAGCTGACAGACAAGCGTGCACAGCTTCACGCCATTAGTCTTCACATAGCTATATAAACCTAGCTTGTCATCCTGATCAGTAAAAGAGGTACATTTGCACATATGTACATACATACTAAATGGCATCTGATTTAATTATTTCTGAACGTTGCATGCACGCACGTACATATGTATGTACATATCTACTCAAAGTTTATTGGAACGTAAGGACATACACCAATTCAACATTAAGAACCCTTCGCAAAGTCCCCAGAAGTTAAGTTTAAAATGCTTTATTTGCAGCTATGTAATATTCATAAATTAGTTTAATAATATTATAACAGGTATATAACAAATATGTAATTTCAAGGTGGGTTGTATTTTCGATTTTTCGTTTTTCAAACTCAGTTTCATTGCGTCAATTATAAATCTCTTTATTGTTTAATTCTTAATTTAAATGTAATTTTTTTCATTTTTTCGCAGTAGACGCTTGTTCCGGCAATGGTTGGCTAATTTGTTTTATAGTTTCTATTAAAAATGTTTACTTTTGTATTCTTTTAATGCATCCACTTCTCTAATCAAGTATCTATAGCCCTATCATATGTTTTACTTTGTGATAAAACTATATTTAAAATTAATATGACCTCTATCGTACTTTAATATTCTTTTATTGTAAAAGAAACAACAATTCGCTTTATGTAACTTGTAACAATGTCGTTTTACGAGTTTATTAGATTATTTTAATCTAATATATTTAACAATTCAATTGTATTATATACATTTTAATATATTTATTTAGTTTTTGTGGGTCTATTTCTGTATTACAAATTGATGAAACAATTGTTATTATTATTGCTATCAATCATTAATTTAGCTTATTAGGACAAATTATTACCCCTTTTAAACAAAGAATTCAGTTCGATGGATCTTTACCGAGCTTCTTTTTCATGCAATTGAAAATGAATATTAATTTAAAGACAATTCAACGAACCTTGATATACTGTAAACAATAATCAGAACCCAGAAGGGTATTTATAAGTACATGCATGCACAAATACAAATACTATAACCCGTGTACATACATATATAAAGTTAGACAAGTAATTATAAAACTGAGTATTGCTCATAGAGGTTTTTGAGGCTTTGAAACCTTAGAGCAATTAGTGAAGTTAGATAAATTTTCTGTAGTATCCCGCTCGGTATTAAATTTCAAATATCCAACCAATGCGCAATGCGATTATACTTATGTTTTCTGCAGACTGTATTAAATACTGCTAATTGTGTGTGTTTTTGCATATGGAATGATAGTGGTACATACATATATATAAATACATACACTGTTGTTATCATATGCTGAAATTGATTGTTAAATCTTAAATTTATTCAGGTTTTAAGCGATGCCATTGTACTACTGTTTGTCTGGGCTTTGAGATCATGTCCTGCCAATGTTTAGTTTCCGACGCCCCAGAACCATTCTTTCCTAAATACATATGTACAATATTTGTGGAAAAACAAAAATATTTTAATATTTTGTGTTGTCAATTAATTGACAATTGCTCTTACCGGCTAATAGGATTCGTCCTATTAACTCATTCCGGCCAATGTTATCAAAATCCATCACCATAACATCCAAAGAGCATTCTCTTATTTTTTCCCATGGAACGTTGAAACTGAATGATTCATTAAACACTGGATTTAATGTACATGTAAATATAGGTGTTTTTCTTTTCTCCACTCGCTTGTCTCCAAACTGTAGCCAAACTTTAACATAGGGATCTAAAGTTAATTGAAAAAAAACATTGGTTACCGAACACGTCAAAAGAGGAATTTAATTAAAAGACAAAGTTTATTTTATATTATTTTCAATCTTGCGCGAGAATAATTCTTTCCTGATTTTCCGTTTATATCCTTAGCTTTTAGGTTCCTCGCTTTGATTAATGTCAACGTCAAAATAGAGTTTGAGGGGTGATAGCAAAGCGATGACAGAAGTTCCCCACATTTATCCTTTGCTGGTGGTTTTAATGCCTTCCAAAATGACTGCTTACCGGCAAAATCAACCTAAGAAGACAAAGTGTTTAAGTACATGTATGTACATACATATATACATATACATGAATATTTATGATTTAAAGCTTAGCCTGTTACAATTTGGTTTAAATATTTTAATTGAATTTTGAAATAGAAATTTTAAAAACTGTTTTGTGGAAACATGTAAGTAGTAACATAAATGTAAACGGTATGTGAGAGCTTTATAAACAAAATAAAATACAAAGTATACAGAGTTTTGGTTCAGATGAATTTAAAATGTTTACCTGACATAAAGGAAGAAATACTTCTCCTATAGAGTCATCCCGTGAGAACCGGTCGTAATCAAAAACATGTAAGTGTAATACCTGTATCAATTTTATGTTAATGTCGATTTATTATTATAAGTATTTAAAGATCATGTAGAGAAAGATAATATTAATTATTCTCACACGTGACTGAAGTTTTTGTATCGGAAATCCCTCAAAATAAAATGTTTCGTTCCATCGCGGATTTAATGTTCTACGTTTTATTTTTGTTTCCAATCGGTGTTTCTTGTCTGGAAGCAAGGTTACACGAACATAAGGGTCCGAAGTCCCACTTAAATCTTTAGCTGGCAGTTCTTTTCCTTGAAGAACTTTTAAAATTAATGTTGTATTTTGAAAATCATATTCCAAAGAGAAATGTATTTGCCCGACATTTTCACTGGAATCCGTGCTGTCCAGGTACATGTCTGTCATGGAAATACTTTTATTCTAAGATGGAGAGAAGTGTGTATATAATAAATAAAATAACTGAGACACCTGTGGTGTTCTTTGACATTTGATCTGTTATTTCTGTTCTACAATTACTATGATAAGAGAGAGGGTCTGACTTCTGCTTACCGCCGAATCTTTTGAGGTACCATCATTTGTATTTCCCCCGGTAGAAGCATTTTGTGCTTTGGTTTGCGTAGGTGCCGAGCCACTAAAAAATATGAATTTGTAAATACATTGGGAAGATAGTAGTAGGAATAAAACATACAATAATACAATAATAGATATATGAACATATATAAGCGCTAATAACACTACTCCACACGATTTTGAGGCTTCGATCCAGAAAAACGTTTTATGAAAGATATGGGGCTTAGAAATGGTTTGATAATACTATTTTTCCTTGGAAGAACTTCTTTTTAGAGTCTGAAGCCAAAAATACTCTGAAAGTTGGGAGCGCCATCCTCCAACAGGTACATTTTTTAAAAGATTGATTTTGTCGAGTAGTTTAATCTATTCGGTATTTGAAATCGATGGAAACAATGAACACACAAACAGAGACATACCCAATTAGAGGAGTCCTAAGGCTTAAGAATCCATTCAATTTTCGATTGATGTTATTTTGAAGAGGAGTTGTAATCGCTGGTGCAACCGGCACTGGTGGTTTACTAGGCGGATTTCCGGAATCAATGTCCTGAGCCGCTCTGTACATGCAATAACAAATAAAGTATTGTTAGTAAACGGTTCTATTAATTGGTTTTGAACATCATAAAATTTGTCTATCACAAATATTTACTTTGCAAACTATAACAAAAACGAGTAGGAACGAGTGAGACGCTTCTTACGCGTCAAAACTTTTATACCCGGTACTCAGTCAGTATATCTGTACTTTACTGCTTTTATACCCGGTATTCGAAGAGTAAACAGGGTTTATTGTATTTGTGGTCCAGAGTGGATTAACATATGTATGTTACGTGTATAAAGTATATATTTTCTTGATCAGCATCAATAGGCGAGTCGCTATGGCCACGTCTGTCTGTCCGTCCTTATGAGCGCCTAGTACTCAGATACCATAAGAGATAAGGCAACCAAGTTTTGCATCCAGATGTCTGAAGGCTCACACTGTTACTAGTCTATTTCAAAATTTCGCCCCGCCCCCTTCCGTCCACCTAAAGTTCGAAAATCTGAGGTAACCACAATTTTGAAGATTTTCTACATACATACATCTCTTCTCACGCGCTTTGAGCTAAACTTGGTTTTGGACGGACAGACAGACATGTCTAAATCGACTAGGCTATTGATGCTGATCAAGAACATATGTATTTATACTTTATATGGTCGGAAACGTTTCCTTCTGTGCGTTACATGCATCCACTTTTTCCCACAATTACAATATAGGGTATATATTTATATATACCTATATATATATATTTATATATTTACTCTTCGAGTACCGAGTATAAAAACTAATAATATAGCTAATAAAAGCGAACTAAATATTCTTCATATGTAAATAAATATGTACGTACATATGTATGTATGTAGTTGGCATTTGTAGAACACCTCTAAAAAAACTAAAATAAAACAATTTTTGTGATACGACTCACCTTAGACTGTAACTACTAGACTCTTCGTCTTCGTTGGGCTCAATAAACTGCAACTGCGATCTTTTGTGTCTCCACCACAAATACCCACCCGCGAGAAACAAAGCTATTGCAATGATTAGTCCCAATATAGCAAGGCATGCTATTAATATTATGCTCGCCATATCTGAAAAAAAATTACAAACCTGATGTCCTGATTAATGTTTAAGACATATATTTCCACTTTTTGTATATATGTATGTCCCATGTATGTTCCAAATGTATGTTCATATGTATGTATGTATCTTCCCTATTACATATGTAGGTGCATACACATTTTCAATCCGAAAAATGATTATGCAAGCGTAACTCCAGATTATTTGCACTCAGCAGTAACACTCTACAGAACATACATACATATTGTAGTATGTTATCGTATATGTACATATTTGTACATGTAAATGTACATTACTCATTTTTATATAGGGAATAAATAAAATTCACTCTTAGTTTAATGAGAATATAGTCCCGGGTACCCCTTGACGATTGTGTTTCCTAAAACTTGTGAATGTTAGGAATTATATGATTTTAGTGCAGATATATGTTAATATACAACATTGGGAGTTTAGATAGGCCATGGGCCAGATGAACAAATGGATGACAACTGTTTAAATACAATATTTAAAAATTTCTTAATTAAGACTTGTGTGATTGGTAATAATTATTGGGGTTTATTAGGGTGAATTTAGTCATTGTTTTATTTTGATTATGTTGTTAAGATTTTATAATTAATTTTGGTACACTTTGGTGCTGCTTCGTATTTAAGTACATGTGTATAAGTAAATGGTGTTTTCACGTTAGGGTTGACAACAGCCGAAAGGCTCGGAAGTGAAACTCCCACGACCATGAAAATCAAGAGAGACACAAGGATTTGTAAAACATAATATTACTTAAATGGTATACATATATGTATATTTGTACATGTATGCACATATGTACACATATATGTATATGTGCGTATGTTTGTACTCGCATGGACTTATGGACGTGTGTTACCGTAAGTATATTAAACCGTTTACTGATTTGGAACTTTCCTTTCACGTATGCGATATGTGAAGTAAAAACAATTTGAATAACAATTTAATTACTTAGTTTACATATTTTTAATCCAAAGCAAAGTTATTTTCAATAGAATATGTTAGTAAATGTTGATGGCCAGCTACTTATGTCAATGGAAACAAATGGAATACATTTTTTTATTATAAGAGTCAGATTCGCATAATATGCGCAGAAGCTCGTATACGAACTTTGTGCGCATGTTCGTTTGAACATAGACCTACCTGCCGTTCAAGCATTCCTAGAGAATGTATTAGACGACACACACTCATATTTATATGTACATACGTATGAATACTCGTTATCTTTTTAGAAAAGTTATAACAAGCTTTTTGTTTTAAAGCAGCGATAATATGCTTTTTGGTGTGGGACGGACCACACTTCTCAGGCTAGTTATGAAATGTAATAAATAAATAATTTGACATCAAATGCGGCTAGTCATGCCAACATAGCCATCATAGCGTACGCATTATTAAGGAGGAGGAACGTAGTAAGTCGCCTTCAAAAGCGACTCCACTTTTATACCCTGTACGTTATGCACATTCAGATGTACATGTGTTTTTCTAATTGTACATCTCGTATTTACATATACAGCACTTCTTACACCAGCCCTTTTAGGTCGCACCCTCCACCTGAGCCGCGCAGGGTGTGGCAGCGAGAGAGAATGATCAGGTGGCATTGATATGATGAAGGGCGCGGCATCAGGGATCTGAAAGATATGGTCATTCTCTATAGTTTTTTCGAATCTTCACAATTGTGGATTATACACATGTACTTTGTAAATGCACTTGTAAAAGTGTGATATCACAGCAGTCTGAATGTCTGAGAACTCAGCGCTCATCAGGACGGACGTACCGACAGACAGACATATCTAATGGGCTATTGACTTATTCAATTAACAATTATCTGCTAATTATGGACTAGGAATATTAATAAAATTAAAGATTAATACAGGAGAGAAAATAAAGATAAGATTTACAAGTTTGTCAAATTAAGGTGACGATAAATGTTAGTTACTATATTTTCAAGGGATATTTCTTGTGATATGTTATGTAAACATATTAAAATACGGATAGCTGGGCAGAGCTAGATCAGCATAAGGATAATCAGATAGTACGGAAAGTCCGGGTAAGTCTGGAAGGAACTGTGAAATCTATATGTCCCAAAAGAGTTTGGGGGTCCACAATCTGGAGAAGGAGCTTGTCCAAGAATATCTGTCAGAGTCCCAGTTCATAAACAATTTTTTTTCAAGTGATTCAGTAAGAATTTGTTGATTTTTGGATTAAGAGCTCTCAGTATAAGCTTTCTTCTATTAGCTTTGTTAACCATTAAAGCAATATTGCTATGAGCACATACAAAGCTTTTGATCGAAGAGGACGCCTAAGTCATTTGATTTGGAAATTCGATCCAGAATATGTTGTCCTAGAGATTAAGGAGAGATTAGACCAAATGTGGAGAACGGTGGTGAAAGTTCATAAGTTTGCTCATAGATTGGTTAAACGAGAAGGGACGTGTGAGACGCTTCTTACTCGTCACAACTTTTAAACCCGGCACTAGTACTACATCTTCACCTTAGCGGTGTTTTGTCAAATTTTACATATTTTCTTCATCTGTCATCTACATCTACAACACTTCTCACACCAACACTCGCGACACAATGAGAGAATGTGAAAAAAAACAAATATAAGCTGCGGGACGGGGTGGGTTTAGCCACTCTAAATTAATTTCTTCATTGTGGCTATAATAATGATCCAATCGGATCCCAATTTGGTGATCTGATAGATATGGTCATTCCCCTCAAATTGCAGATTTGGGAGGTTTTACTTTATGGGGTCGGAAACGTTTCCTTCTGTGTGTTACATACGTTCACTTTGTACACAAATGCAATATACCCTATTTATATAAATAGATAGAAAAGTATGTTAATTGAAATCCACATGTTAAATTCACCAAGATCAAGTTGTAGGCGAGGATGCGAGCACCAATCGGAAAAGGAAAAGCACATCTTTACGTCATCAGCATACATTAACAGCATACATGCAACTGAGTGCAAAAAACCTTGAGCTAGGTCGTTCACAAACAGATTAAATAGCAGCGGACCTAAATGACTTCCTTGAGGAACACCTGCGGTTACATTCAGGATTTTTGACAAAACATTACAGAACAAAACATGACAGATACGACGATATCCAATTTCCAAGATGTTTAGGAAAATCTAATAAAGAGAGTTAATGGATTAGCAAAGTATGATTAACAGAATCAAAAGTTCTGCGGGTTGCAATTGACTAGTGAAAAGCAGCTTCGGAATTACAGATATTTTTGAAATACCGCGGTAGTTATCGGTGTTAGATCTGGGAAGGCGAGAACGCTCGAGGGATAAATTAAGCAGGAAGGTCGTCGGATGGCATAGGGCTTGACTGCAATATTTTAGAATACAGCTCGAAATTGTATCTGGACGCGCAGAGGAACAGGTGTCTGTTGAAATACGTTGCTGGCATCAGGTAGATGATAGGGAAAAGGGGTGGATGAGTCATAAGTATACGATGAGTACATCGAATGAAAGAAGGTGGCAAATAAATTTTAAATACCTTAGCTGAAGTTTTTGTTTTATCCAGAAAATTAAGGAAATAAGTGATAGCGTTAGTCTTACGTTTTGGGATTAAATACTTAGTTTATAAAATTGGCTATTAATAGCAATACATTGAGCGTGAACAGAAGCATATTGAGCAAAGACAGATAAAGAACCAATTATCTGGTCCTTTTGGTTGGCCCAGGATTTTTTTTATTTGTTAGGTACTCCATGTAGGATACTTGGAAATCCAGTGTAGTTTGGCGGATACATGGCGGTGACTGCAGGAACATAGGTATTGAGGGCTGAGTTGATAGTTGAATCTCTATTTAATGAGGACTGAAGAGAGGGCCAACCAGCTTGCGAGAGATGTAGACAAAGATCGATAAATTTGTTTTGCGATTAAACTTTATTCAACCTTTTAAAGGTTGAACGGTGTTAATACATCTGCGGTTGACCCTGCGGTCAACCCAAACAATTTTTTGTTCTTAGTTTTTTTTTCGTGTCCTCGCGGTGCTTAGCATAATTCGGGTTTGTAGTCCATGTCGACGACGTAATTACAATTGTGCAGTGAAGAGCGAGTCGCTGTTTTTGATTAAAATATACATACACGAACATAAATAATGCATTATTATTGTATCAAATTGTATCTGAATTATGTGCGTTACACGTTTCGTTTACACGAAATTTCAATTCGCAAACGGTCCATAAAAAAAAAAACGAAAAAAACCCTAAAGTCGAGCAGGTACATACATACTTTGACGGATGTTTTGTCTTTGTTTTGTTAATTTTTTTTTTTTTATTACTAGATCAACAAAACTAAGTTTAAACAAAAAGGCAAACAATAAAAAATGTATATTAATTAATTCATTTCATTTTAGGTAATGTAGGTATAATTCTGGTAATGATTTAGGTAAAGGCTGCGTTCTGCTAGGTTCCGCGCGTAACAGGCTTTGGCTTGGTGTCGCATGGGCCACTTGATGGTGCAGTCATTGCATATCAACGTCCAGAAGACACGGGAAATTCATCACTTATAATATGCATTAGTGCATATTTTATTACACTACCCGACACGAATTTTCCTCATGGAATCAGACCAACGACTTATAATCGGTACTCGAAGAGTAAGTAGGGTATAGTGTTTTTGTGCGAGAACGTGGATGTGCATATTTAACGCACATAAGGAAAAGTTTCCAATAAGTTATTGATCAGCATCAATAGCCGAGTGTCTGCTGTGACATCACGAGTGTATTTAAAAAACGAGAAAGGACGTGTGAGACGCTTCTTACGCGTCAGAACTTTTATACCCGGTAATCAGTAGTACATCTGCACCTTAGCGGTTTTTACAAATTTATCTTTTAATTCGACTTCTCCCGAGTTTTTCCCTCACAAAAATATACATTTTTTAATTTCAAAGATAAATATTTTCCAAACGGTAAGCTAAAACCACAAAATGTTTGGGTACACTTTATAGATGAATTCATTAGCTTTAAAGAATGACTAATTTATTACACCTAAATGTAAGATACTTAAGTTATGTGATACAAATAAGAGACAAACGAGAAGGGACGTGTGAGACACATTTTACGCGGCACAACTTTTATAACTGGTACTTAGTTCCCGGGGGGGTTTTTTCGAATTTTACATATTACATTTTTAAAATAAGTTTTGCCCTTGGCGGCACTTGTAACAGCATGAGCATGCATCTGCCATACATATAGCCATCCATACATTCTCTGAGTCTCTGAGATCCAGGCGCTCAACAAGACGGACGGACGGTCAGACAGAAATGGCTATATCGACTCGGCTACTGATAAAGAATATATATACTTTATAGGGTCGAAACGTTTCCTTCTCTGCTTTACATATGATTGACATCCATTTTTTCTCCGCAATTACAATATACCCATTTACACTTCGAGTATCGGGTAGAACAACGTTCTGTTTTCAAAGCCCTGGGTCTATTAAAATAGGTTGGTTTTATCTGGTACCAGCATTTATATATTTAAAACTGTGTTGATTAAAAAATCAGCATTTGCATAATTCATTTAAAGTTCATTTTTTCATTTTTATTGATATTTTGGAGCAAGGACAAAAGTGTATTTGTAATACTAAAAAAATCATATAAAAAATTATATATATTCTAATCAACCTATCCCACAATGCAAAACTATGTGTATATGGCTATTAAGATATATTTAAATATTTTACATTTTAACGTATAACTTATGACTATAGGGTCACTGTTCGTTATTAATCGTATGGTGGCGCAGAGGTATAGATGGTATAGCAATTTCTTGCAATCCGCAAGATTCTTTTGTGGCATTTTTTGTCGCTCATGCGTACTTTGAATTACAATGAGCTCTCTCGTTCTCGCAGTCCTCACTCTTGCAATCCAAGTTTGCTCAGGCATTGGAGAATCCATTTTTAGAACGATTCCGTTTCTTTTCTAAGTAAGAGGCACTAGGCTCTCCCAAAACCTATGTATTTGTTTGTTAGTTGGATACCACAACAGATTGGAGCAGTAGAATACGGATTCACCCACTGGATTGCCACTTTTAAATTTAGTCTGAAGGTACTTGCCTTGGATACAGAAACTCCCTCTGGCATCTTTCGGTTGTGTTGAAGAATTCGGAGCACTAAAATACATATGCATGTGCATATGTATGTTTGTACATATGTACATCTTGTATATTTATCATGTGTCATGTGTACTTATCCTAGGTCTGGTTCATACTGTGAATACCAAACATATGTAATAAGCCATTGAACAATATCCCTTTGCTATACACATGCATATGCTGGTTCACATATTTATGGTAAAGTGCATATACATATATTCAATTTTCATATACATATATACATTGATATGTTGTGTGATTGTGTAATGCAGAATAGCCACATAAAATTGTGTAATCTTTTTCAGGAAACGTTAACCAAAATTGGCTTTTATCATATCTGAAAAATTTGACTAACATCTCAGTTCATATATGCACTATAAATATGTATGTATGTAGTATTTTGTATTAAAAACTAATCGTAAGATTCGTCTACTCATATATGTATATGTTAATGTATATTTATGTTAATATATATGTATGATAGTAAACAAGTCAGCATGCACTTAATGCTGCCAATTTGCAGAAGACCAGTGAAAAGACATTTTTGTGTGAAAAAAATTAAGCCCGACTGGACATGCAGCAGCTTTATATATGCATACATATGTATGTGTTTGCACATATGTACTTATCTTAATATCCGAATTTTCCAACATATTTTAATATTGGATCTTCACGGGTATTTAACTCTTCATAGCCTTAATTTCATCTAATTTATATAATATCTTCTTTCTTAATTTTCTATAATTTCTATTATAGATACATATGGACAATGGACTCCAAACAATAAAAAATTCGATGAACAAAAGACTGCTTAAGGTATGTTCATACCAGATACTTTAAGAAGCTGTATGATCGAGACGGACGTTTCTTCTTATTTGCAAACATCGTCGACAGGACAGGTAAAATGTTAAACACATTTTTCATAAAGATTATTCTGGGGTAGATATTATTTTCCTGTTAATGGCGAGGGTGGAAGAAACTTTGTGTAATTGTAGGGATGAGCATATAACAAATTGGCAAAAAATTCAGTGAGCATTACCCAAATACATAAATATACGTGCATAACTTCCATTTTAATAAAATATTGGTTTCAATAATCAATCTTTACTAATTCTATCGTCAGGTATGAAATTTACTCTGGATGCTTAGGAAAAGAAATGCGCAAACCATATTCTCATCAAATATTAAACAAATTTAAATGTAATTAAAGTCTTAATAATACTTGGTATTCCAATTTATATCTTGATGTCTCTGTGTTATCTGTATGTATACCATTATTTAAATAAACACTGCACACATCCATTGCATCTTGTTATCTGTCCGTTACCATTCTGTGTACGTACATACATATGTAAATTCATATAAAAGTTATACACATTTACATCTATATACATACATATATGTATGTATTAAAACAAAATAATAAAACAAAACAAATAATGATAATAACAATGATCGAATTTCAATTCATTCCACTATATAGGTGCCATATACATACATAGTTCTTATACATTTGTTACATCAATCATATTTCCAGAAAATTTATTTAATTTAATTAGATTTGACTATATATACCCTTGCAGAGATGCTAAAGTGTTACTTACATTCATATACATACATATGTTAGCAATGAATAATATGAAACAATTTCGGCATGGTCGGACACGAGTATACCCGAATGCATATGTACATATACAGCTGTGAACAAAATAATAGCACCACCACCACAAGCACTTTTCAAATAGTTGCCCAACTCACATTTTAAACTTTATGGAAACTTTAAGCACTTTTTAGAAAAGGAATACTCTTACAAATCTGGGGGAAAAAAAAATTTGTTTTGTAAGGCTTTTAAGATATTTAAGAAACTTTAGTGAAACTGGAAAAGAATAAGTGCTATTATTTTAGCACCACTTTTGATAAATAGATTTAAAATTTATAAAATGACCAAAATGAAACCAATTTCTTAGTTAACACTTTTGAACTATTAATTCTAAATCTATATTTATCGTTCAGTATTTAGTTCAGTGTCCTATTTTGGCAATAACAGCTGCGCATCATCTTGGCATGGAATCCACCAAGTCCATGCATAGCTTTTGGGGAGCTTTGGAGCAGGACTCTTAAATTTGTTCTTAAAGTGATCCTACAGTGGTTGGTTTGGAAGCAGCAACTGCCTTTTGGATGGCGGACCACAAATTTTCGATGGGTTTCATGTCAGGCGACTGTGCAGGTGACTCTAACACGTTCAGTGTTGGCCCCGAACCGTTCCTTTGCTTTCATGCTTGTATTATTTACCGGTTGAAAGACCCATACTAGTGGCAATTCATATTCTGCAAACGGTAGCATAACAGTCTCCATGATATCCACGCACACGTGCTGATCCTTGTTTTTTTTTATAGCCGGTACTTGAAGAGTAAATAGGGTATACTGTATTTATGCGAATAAAGGTTGTATGTAACGCACAGAGGGAAACGTTTCCGAACCCATAAACTATATATATTCTTGATCAGCATCTATAGCCGAGTCGATTGAGCCTTGTCTGTCTGTCCGTCCGTCTTGTTGAGCGCCTGGATCTCAGAGACTATAAGCTAGAGCCACCAGATTTTGCATCCAGACTTCTGTATGCTCACACTGTTACAAGTGTATTTAAAAAATGAGCCCGCCCCCTTTCGCCCCCGCAAAAGGGCGGAAACCTCCCAAATCTACAATTTTAGGAGAATGACCATATATATCAGATCACCAAATCTGGATCCGATTGGATCATTATTATAGCCACAATGAAGAAATTAATTTGGAGTGGCTAAGCCCACCCCGTCCCGCAGCCTATATTTGTTTTTTGCACATTCTCTCATTCACACTTTGCTTAGCGCAGTGTTCGGCCTCTGCCTCTGCCGTACCTCTGCCTCTGCCGTGACTCTGCAGTGTGTAGCTCTAGGGGAGGGTGTCGAGCTAAAGGAGAGTGTTGGTGTGAGAAGTGTTGTAATGTAGATGACAGATGAAGAAAAAATGTAAAATTTTTTTAATTATAGTTAACGTACTCCATGTGAAGAGAAGCAGGCCCATACCATTAAATTAAACGTTTTATTTTTAAGGGTTTTCTTTGGTGTACTGGCGTTCCTTGGACGTCTTAAGTATGATCGAGACCCCTTTTCAGTAAATAAAACACTTTTTACTCATCTGACATTAAATTTTTCCCCCATTACTCCCTTGCAAACATCATGTACTAAGTAATATGTTTAAAAGTGCGAGTTTTTTGTGCGGAAGGCTTTTAGGCCATGTTGGCCTAAATATCAGAACTTTATAGCCAGTCGTTTTTTGTTTTAAGCTCTTTTTTAAGCTCGATAGCAGGCTTGGAGGGAACCTTCTTGCTCTCACGAATCTGCCTTTTGACCCTAAAAGCGTTCAAAGATCTTTTTCATCCCCGTGTTTCACACTTTTTTCATAGTTTAAGGCTTTTTAATCATTTTATTGAAACTTCCTACCAATTGACCAAATTCGGTGTAAGTTTTTACGTCATTTTTTGCTAGGGTCGCGCTTCTTTGCATTTCAGAGCTTTCCACGTCTTATTGTAATGATTATTATTGATTTTATAATAGAAACAATGAAATATTAATAAAAACTAATAAATACGTTGGTTATGCAAAGTCAATTCCGCGAAATTACGGAGATTCACTTAAAATAGTGCTAATGGTGCTATTATTTTTTTCGCCATATTTGTGGTATTTTTTATTAAAGTACAAAAAAAATAAATAAAGACAGAAATTTGGAAAAAGGCAACACCTTCTTTGTTAATGGAGAATACAAAACTATATAAAAAAAATTGAAAAATGTGTTGTAGTGGTCCTATTATTTTTTTCGTTTAATAAACTCTGGTCAGGAATTATCCATATAAAAAATCATTTTAAAAATCCAGCTACTAGTGAAAATGAAAAAAATGTATTTTTAATTATTTAGGACTCTCTCCTTAATAACCAATACCATTACACAAATAGATACTAGGAACATTTTTTCGAATATTCTAGTTTTAAGAGAGCTAAAAATTACCAGTATTTTCAGGTACTCCAATCCTTTTATTTTTTAAATAAAGAAAGTCTTGAAAAATGAAAAAAAATATTTGTTCCATATCTATTCGTAGTTGGATTTTTAAAATGAGTTTTTAGATGAAATATTTCTGAGTCTATTTCATTGATTGGGAGTGTGTGTACAAATGTCTGTTTTATGGATACAAAGTGGTTAATCCTTTGCACAGAACTTAATTTTTTCTGCGTGCAAAATAGATTTATCTATATACATATTTATATATGTACATACATATGTATGTTCGGGCTCCAAAGTTATATTTATTATTTTTAAAGAAATTTTGTTTTTGTGCACTTCGAAGGTAATTTTTTTAAGTACAGTTTTGTGGATTCATTTATGGTTAGTTATGTCATCTGCATCCTACCCCCCTGATTGAAATATTTAATTTCATTTTTTTGGGAATGCTTGACGAAATAACGTTGCTGTTTACTACGTATCTATAATATCACCCAATACATGTACAGGCTATTGTACTATGTACTCGTATTGTAAGTGTACTCGTAAAATATAATAGATGATCTTTGATTGCTATCATAGTAAACTTTAATCATTACTATTCTATAACCCAAAACAGTGTTCCGTTTTCTGTTACATATACAAAAAATTACATGTCACATAAGTCATTCGCTTTTCTATTGTTGCAGTTGGTTTACCATTTACCTGTGTAACGACGCCTCTCTATGTCTCTGTGTATTTTTCTTAAGTCTAGTTTAGTTTCTGTTTTACAACCAAAACGAATTTTTTAGATGCACATGTGAAGCCTTTAATATTAAATATAATTTAATATAAAATCATACTGAAGTCGTTCCTCTTTGTTTCCAATTTAGGATGAATTTCACCCCTTTATTGAAGCGCTTTTACCGTATGTCAAATCATTTTCATACTCTTGGTTTAACTTACAAGCCGCCAAACGAAAATATTATAAAAAACACGAAAAACGAATGTCATTAGAAGAGGAAAGACATTGCAAGGACGAACTACAGGTAGTAACAACAAAATAAACTAAAATTACCATTCTTCCTCAACTTCACAATTTTAATTTCTAGAATGAGAAGACGGAAGTCAAACAAAAATGGGCTTCCCGCCTGCTTGGAAAACTTAGAAAAGATATAACACAAGAGAGTCGGGAGGATTTCGTGCAATCAATAATCGGCAAACGTAAATCAATTTGTGTTCTATCAAATCCAGATCAAAAAGGCAAAATGCGACGCATAGACTGTTTACGTCAAGCTGATAAAGTTTGGCGACTTGACTTGGTCATGGTTATTCTTTTTAAAGCAATTCCCCTGGAAAGCACAGATGGGGAGCGCTTAGAAAAGAATCCCGAATGTTTGCATCCAGGACTTTGTGTCAATCCGTACCACATTAATGTCTCTGTCAGGGAGTTGGATTTATATTTGGCTAACTTCATAAATACTCATAATTCGGTCAATCAGGCATTGTCTACAGGACAGTCAGTGGATTCCAGGTCTCCAAATGTGACACAGTATACTCGCAATAATATTCCTTTGGAGAACAAAGAAGTTGGCGTTGAAATGAAAAATGAAGGCGTGAGACATAATCCTTATAATGGAGTTGTGTGTAATGATATTATTTTAGCGACTGGTGTTTTCTCATCACAGGAACTCTGGAAATTGTCGAAAGGTATTTTTATATAATAAAAAAATTAATGTCGATGCGATTGTAAAATGCTTATTCCAGATTCAATATTGGATGAAATCAGTGACAATAATCTCCACTCAAACCTTATTAAAAGGGAAAACGTGGGAGCTGCCTATGATTGCAACACATATCATATTAACTCAGAATCTTCAATGCCTGGCCCCCAGAGCTTAGTTCAAGCTGCGGCAATTGTAGCTAATCCAGTTCCTGGTGGTTATAGTAGTTAGTATTTCTAAGCAAAGTTTAAAATATGCCAAAACTTAACATATACTTTGTTTAGTTGACTTTGTAGATCAGAGGAGCTTGCAGTTATCACAAAGTCCGTTACTAAACGCAGAAGTGCCTAATGACGCGTCCACTGATGTTAGTAAGGTCGATCAAAGGAACTCGCCTCCGGTTGTTTCTCGGCCATCTACTTCAGTTGAAAACTGCACCAGCAGCTTTTCGGTAATCCTTCGAGCAACAGAAAGTAATAGCTCAAATGGAGAGCCAACAGCCAATTCAGACTCGGCCATCTCGCTGCACCGCTACACGTCGCTTAACAGTAGACCAACACAGCAATTCCGAGCTCCAGAAGGTGTGGCTTTATGTACATACATATGTATATGTACATACATATGTATACGTACATACATATTTATATGAATGTATATGTATATGTATATGTACATACAAATGTACTAAGTGCACAAAAACTATTTTTTGTTAATAATTGTATTTAACCCATTTACAAATTTATTTAGGTATTTCACACCCGAATTGCTCTTCATTGCTGTCGACTTCTATCAGCCCAGTCAATACACTGTATTACCCCCCCCATGGCACTGTAAGGTCTTCTACAATAGTTGACGAAGACCAGTGTCACCGCGTTGTTGCTGACAAATATTCTACAGAATCCCATGACATTTCTGACTTTGTCACATACGTTTGTCAAGATGCTGGTCACTCAACAACAATATCGACAGGAACTATTGATCATGCGTTTCAGCATGCCCATCCACATACGCACGTCTCTCATAGCCACCCCTCGCATTTTCAAATTCATCAACAGCTAAGGAATTCGAAATTGGCTTCTTCGCCAGCTGCTCATTATCATAGTACAATGCTGCCTCCGATGCTGCCACCGATGGCACGACCAGTGGCAATAATACGGACTAGCGGAGACTTGTCAATGGTTCACTCACCCCCTTCTCCATCGGGTTCGACAAACGATTCTCCGAATACACATAATAATAGCCTAGGCGTAGCAAAAATAGGCTTGGCGCCAGAAAATAGTACAAATACAAACACCATGGAAGGCAACAACAGTCCAATTAATACAGATTCCAGCTCACATAGCGTTCACTGTACAACTCTAGTGACATCCATTTCGCCGCAACCACAACCCCAACCACCCCAACCGCAACCTCAGGCACCCTTATCGACAAACGCCTATCTGGAAAATGGACGATGTAAGCTTTCACCAGCAGCTACCAGCTCCTTGAGTCGTATAACCACCCAAATGTATCCATCATCCAATGGCAGGGAATACTTTAACCACTTTCATTCGCAATCTTCATCGGTAAGTATTTATTTACTTATTCACTCTATAAATTACCCATAGCTTGAACATTTTATTACATTTTTGACCTTTTCTTAATGAATGTATCTGTGCGTTACAACGTCCAGCTGCTAGGATACGCTGGTTCTATTTCCTCAATGTCTGGTGTAATAAGTCCGACCAACTTGAGCCTTTACTCAGCTCCAACTATGGCTGTAACTCGCTCTAGTGCCCGGTCTCGATGGAACGATGATGAACTAAATTTAATTCCACACTCTGTATCTAGTACAAATATAGAAAATACACAAGTTATATTAATGGAAGACTGTAAGTAAACCGGTTTTCCTTAAACCCTTCTCCAAGATTTCTAAAAATTCCTAAGATTTACATATTTATTTTCAGCTTCAACTCGTTATATCGATGAATACTCAGCTAACTCAAATCGTGACTATGGGTCATGATCTAATGCCAAAATGTCATAAATTGGACGGACACTCGTGAGGCTTGGGCATGCCAATTTATTGACTATTATATAAATATAAGTACCTTATAAATATCTTCATAAAGACACTGATACACACAAACACAAAATATAAATCTTTAAACCAATCGATCAACCAAAAAATTTAATACAACAAGTCGAGCAACGATGCCATGCCCCCTATATGGGGCATACGATTTATTTATTAACCGGCAATTACTAAACACTGAAATTTAATATTTTTAGTGAGAAGTGTGTGTGTGTGCTTATTTTATTTGATTTTAATGCAATTTGATCAGAACTAAAATACATTGTATATGTAGCCGACTTGCTTTCAAAAATGTACTTTAGACATCATCTCTTCGGCTTATTATTTTTGTATTTTAAGTAACGATAACAACTGATATTCTGTAGAGTAATCACTATTGGGATATGTTATCTAAAAAATATCATATGACAATATGGTTTAGTGACAACAACAATACAATAATTTACAACCATGTAATATCGTTAAATTACATGACTAGTCAACAAAATGAATTATGTAAATGATGTACATACATACCTAAGATACAAATGTATTTACATATATTTGCATATAAATGGACATACATATGTGTATGTACATATGTATACATATATACAAAAATATATTCCTGGCTTTCGTACATGAGATATGAAAAAAATAGCTCTGTATATCAATAGATGATATTGCATGTGACCATTTTTTAAAACATTATTAATTTTAATTTCGAATATGTGATTTAAACAAAAGATCACAATGCAAAACCCCTTGCACTGGCCAAATAAAGCTGGTGTTCACCGCCAGCTAACAATCGTAACCAAAACTATGGTTTAAGTGTTTGTACATATGTATGTATGTAATATTCAATGGCTTCTCACTCAATATGGTCTATTGGGGTAGAAGTCGATTGAAAAAAAAAGTCCACTAAGTACTGAACAAAGTCAATAAGAGTCATATGACATGTGGATTTTCTGTTTGGTTAAATACTTATGGGCATACATAAATACATGTGTACATGTAAATTTAGGATAGTCATTAATAGTAAGCTTAAAATTGTTTTAATGTAATAGCGAAACTGGCGTAAATTAATATTTTCACAAGCATATTTTAATATTTTAATATTTTACCTTTAAGCCTGAGATAGAAAGGACTTATCGTACAGTAAAGATAATAGATTACATTTTTTATATGCGCCGTTATTGGGTTCATTGTAATAAAATAGATATCCTTTAAGAAGGTAATTATAATTGTTATTGTAATATTATTTTTTAGTGTGCACACGCACACAGATCTATCATAATGCGAATATATGAAACTGGAAAGACGCACTTACACAACCTAATTAAGTAACTTTTAAAACTTTAGAACAATAATAGTTTTAAGTCGGAGGCAAAGGGCATGTGAAGAAAACGAATCAATATTTATATTACGTTTAATAATTGGCTGTGAATACAATCTTATGCTAAAGCTGTTTGTAATTTAGAATAAGAAGAAAGTGCTAATTATTACCACGTATTCAATATTATTATAATATATACAAATAAATATATACACATGTTTAGACTTGTAGAGACTTTTGCAAAGAGTTTAAGAGTATATTTTGTTAAAATACAAAAAAAACATTCTTAAACTTAAGAGTATTACAATATACTAATAAACAGCAAACTTGACTGTTATTATTGCTGCAGTAATTTTTTCCTGTATAGTCCAAAATAACCCGATGGGATTCTGAATCATCCAATCCCAGAGCATTACATTTTGTTTTTTTTCCTGGAGCTGGATATCAAGTGCTGCCGTTTGTACAGAGGTTTCTTTCTTAATTCTGTATCTTGGGTTTCATAAGATGGAAGATTGTTGCATGTTGCATTTTTTTCGAATTCTGCTGCCTTCGCACTTAATGTTGCGCAACCAATATTTGATATGCTTGCTGGCAATCTGGGCTCAGATGGCCAGTTCCCTACTGTTTCACTATCTAAAAATAGGTAAATAAATATAGATTATCGTATGCTACTCGTTTATTTCAAATTACCCTTATCTCTAACGGACTCTTTGTATTGTAATGATTGCTCCGGTAACGATATTTGAAGACTTGCAGAGAATACTTTTAAAGTTTCGTCTTTCCGCTCATCCTTATGCGCGTCGTTACAAGCAAGCTTAGGATAACTTCGCAACCCTTCGTCATCAACGGGATTTTCCGATTTTCGTTTATCAAATTCGTTATCATACTGCCCAACAGAGCCATACCTGTAAACCATATTTTTGATCAATGAATTAAACGAGAAGGGCCGTGTGAGACTCTTCTTACGCGTCACAAATTGTATACCTGGTACTCAGTTGGACATCTGGACCTTAGTGGTTTTTTTTTTAATTTTACTTTTTTTTACCTATGTCATCTAATCCAAAACGCTCTTTTAGCTCGGCCCCGTCCCCTAGAGCCTCACCTAGCCATAGAGCATAAAGCCGAGTGTGAAATGAGAGAACAGGCAAAAAATAAATCGGCTGCTGGACAAGGTGGGGGTAGCCACTGAAAATTAATTTCTTCATTCTGGCTATAATAATCATCCAATCTGATCCCAACTAGGGGATCTGATATATATCCCTGAGGAATAGCGTTTTAGATTCTCTTATCTTCAAAAATGTGGATACAGCCGATTTTCGTCTTTTGTGGGGCCGAAGGGGGCGGGGCCAATTTTTTAAATACACTTGTATCAGTGTGTGCATGCATCAGTCTGGAGAAAAAATTTGATGGCTCTAGCTCTTAGTGTCTCTGAGATCCAGGCGCTCAACAAAACAGACGGACGGTCGGACAGACAGACATGGCTTAATCGACTCGGGTGTTGATGCTGATCAAGAATATTTGAATATAGGAAATGTTTCATTTTGTGCGTTACATACATCCAATTTTGATCACAAATACACTATACTTTATTTACTTTTCGAGTACGGGGTATAAGAATAAAATGAAAATATTATTACCGTTTAGCATGTCTCGAGACGAAAACCTCATCTGCAGAGCTGGCCGCGTCGCTGTTTTGAACTATTGACGACTCATCTGAATGATTCAAGATCCTTTTGAAAAAAGTAGAATATACAAAGCTAAATAATAAACATCCTTAAATTACACTATGCAACAAGAGCAGCGAATAAAGCTCTGAAATTAAAACCTTGCTGTAAAGTTAAGTGATATTAGACTGTTTTGATCTAAGTTTGGATGTTGGGCCAGCAACGTACCAAACAGGATGTAACTGTGTGAGGAGATTTTACGAGGTTTGGCAAAATGGCTGCGTCTAAGCAATCGTGCCTTACGAGTATACCAAGAATTACGACTACAATTTCAAACAACAGGAAAATAAGTTGGGGCATAACTGGGCGCTCGGCCCGTGCGCCAACATTCGGGCTCCGATTTAGACTAAAAACTATCACATTTTGCGATTTACAACTTCGTCACGGTCGCAAATATTTATTGGAACGGCCCTGGACACAACAATACTTAAAACGAGAAGGGACGTGTGAGACGTTTCATACGCATCACAACTTTTATACCCGGCACTCAGTACTACATATGCACCTTAGCGGTGTTTTGTCAAATTTTAAATTTTTTCTTAATCTGTCATCTACATCTACAACACTTCTCACACCAACACGCTCCGTTAGCTCGCCCCCTTCCCTAGACCAACACACTGCAGACTCGCGGCAGAGGCAGAGGCAGCGCCCGCACAAAAAAATACAAGTATAAGCTGCGGGACGGGGTGGGTTAAAAGTCGGAAGAGTAATCGCCAGGGGGAGGGCAGAGGCAGGGGTCGAGTGAAGCAGAAGCAGAGTGTGAATGAGAGAATGTGAAAAGAACAAAAAAAGCTGCGGGACAGGGTAGGTTTAGCCACTGCAAATTAATTTCTTCATTGTGGCTATAATAATGATCCGATCGGATCCCAATTTGGTGATCTGATAGATATGGCCATTTCCTACGGAATGGCGCTTTTAGTTTTCTTGTATCTTCAAAACTGTTAGGAGGTTTTCGCCCTTTTGCGTGGGCGAAAGGGGGCGTGGCTCATTTTTGAAATACACTGGTTTCAGTGTGAGCATACAGCAGTACGGAGCCAAAATATGTTGGCTCTAGCTCTTATAGTCTCTAAGAACTAGCCGACAAACAAGACGGACAGACGGACGGACTGAGAGACGGACAGACAGACAAGGCTCAATGGACTCGGCTATTGTTGCTGATCAAGAATATATATACTTTATGGGGTCGGAAACGTTTCCTTCGGTGCGTTACATACAACCGTTATTCCCCACCCTATTTACTCTTCGAGTACCGGGTATAATTAAAAAACAAAAATTTTAAATTCAAATATTTCCTAGTGCAATTTATTTATATATATTTATTTATCTATGTGTGTATATTCATTTATTTATATAAATTTATTTATTTAATATTTAATTTAACAAAGAGCAGCTTCTACAACGACTCTATGGATAGGTTGCACCTCAGATCGGAAAAAAAGGCTCTTTCCACACAGACTTGCGTTGCAGGGGCAGATTGCACAACTTTTGCAAATTGGAACAAATTCGGATATTGGTTGGTACTTCTTTTGTTCCCAATATTGCTTTATTTTTGTACTTAGTTCGATCGGTTTTGGGCTATTATTGTATATTTCACGCGATAAGAATGACCAAGCAACTGATGCACCAATGCAACTAAGGTTTGACTTAAGATAAGCTATAAATCATAATTTATTTCATATGCAAAAATTGAACACAGCTGTGTTCAATGAAATAGTGCCGCAGCTTACCACTTTCACAACTCTTTTTAAGGCTCTTTCCGGATTTCGAATAAAGCAATTGATACCTTTTTGAACAGACTGGAATGTAAGCATTATAAACCCGAAAACACATTATCACATTTGCATTACATCTTCTTCTTTCGTATCAAAGCTTGACTTTATTGACACATTCCAGGCGACCCATTCATGAAAAAGAGCTAGATGGAATGAAAGCAGCGCACTCCTATTTCATTGTACACAGCTGTATGTACGAACATACAAGATAATCATAGCCAAGAGCAGCCACACGCATAAGAGGAATACAATCTCGTATCTTTAGGCG